AAAAAAAAAAAAAAAAAAAAAAAAAAAACGTATTTATATAAATTATTTGTTTATAAGCATATTCCTAATATACGTACACTATTAACGTAATCATTTTATTGTTTGCATCGAACGCGATAGTGAAACGAGGTGGGGCGAAAGAATATTTATCTCTATTTATCTGTGACAGCGGCGAGCGCGCGTAGTCCATTCGGTCGCCGGTCCCCGTACGCGCGTCAGCGTTCTGGGATCTGTTTTCGGTACCGGCGGCGGGTCGGTTCAAAATTACCGCGCCGTGTTCCGTCGCAATATGCGTGCGGACGCGTCATTATCCCGCGGGCTCCTCGTTAGACGATTCTACTCGTCCGGTTTTCAAACTGACGGAACTGATCGGATATTTAAAATTGTCCGAGCAACATCGAAACCCGTCGGATCGCTAATCCCGGTAGAATCAAACACGTCCAACGTGGAGCACACGGATTGTGTTGCTGTTGTCAATGTTATCAATTTCAAATCGCTTCGTCTTGGGGCCTCCGGCCATCTCCGCTCACTCGTTCATGTCGAAACTTACTCGGAAGTAACCCTCGATTTATTATGCAAAATCACGTAGCGTAGATTTCGGGAGAAAAATTCGAAACAATTTAATAATTATTCTATGATCGTCGGCGTAGAACCCGAAAACTATGGTCAGTGTAAATATAAATATATTAGGTATCGATGTCTTCTCCTTCTCATTTGCCTTTATCCCAACTATTTGGAGTTGGCCACCCTCGTGACTTTGCGATACAATACGACATTTCCGCGCTCCCGCGATTGCAATGGACTAATTGCCAACGGGGAATGCTTCTTAAATACTGAAATGGATGCCAGAATACCTATATGCATTTTTTTTTTCTTTTCTGATCGTGCGAAGGTTTCCCCGTTTTAACGTATACGTCGGGTCGCCGATATTATCGTCTCGTGAAAGAAATCCGTCTCTCCGACCACGGTCTTAGAAGATATGATCGCGATACTTGGCTATCAAACATTCAAACACGACCGTCTAGAAAGACAGTTGTAGTACCTATTTTATCTGATATTTCAATATAACGCGACGTACGTGACTTTGACGTTTATAAACATAAAAGATAATTAAATCGATAAATTCAAAAAAAATGTATATATATTTATATAGGTACCCGTTAATTTTCAATATTTTTAAACAATCCCGTGAAGTTCGGTTTGATGAGGCGCCCTCTGAGAAAAAGGTAAAAAGATTAACTTGCCTCTCTAAACGACTTGCAAATTAATACAGAGGAGATAGCCAGAGCTATTATTTTCTAAGACCTTGATCTCGACGATAATAAAGTAATGTGCTGCGCGGTTGAATAGTATGCATATAATTTATAGGCAAGTTATAATTCGCATCGTCACTGTTGCAAAGTATTTGTGTTTAAATACTTTTTTTTTTTGATATTGAATACTAAAATTATTTATTGGGTCCTTTTTTTGCTTGATAAACCTCCCTATAGAAAATCAATACACATAGTATGTAAAGGTACAAAACCACTACCATTCTGTATAAATGGTAACGGTTAATAATTATTCTCATATGAAATGGGATATTTTTACGGCTTCCTAAAAGCGGTTAAGTTCGAAATTGCAATTTTTCAGAAACACGAAACCAAAGTTTTTTCTCATTTCAAAGTTACAACGCTTAAATTATAAAACGCTAAACGAAAATAATCAAAAAAATATTAAACTTGAATTATATCCCTAATAATGTACGTATACTATATAGATGTGAATATATAAAAAAAAAAAACATTTTAGTCTATTAAAACTTAACACAAAGTAGATATCATATTTTTGCTGGATATCTTATTATGTTCATTCCCGCGATATTGCACATAACAATGATATCAGATAACCATTTAAACCAATTAGTTATGGATTAAAATTTGAATTTTACGATGACACGACCCCATTCCCGGAAAAATGAACTTAACCACTTTTATCCAAAGGTCTTCGATATCACGTTGATTGATAAACTTCAAATTATATATTAACCGGTCTAATAATACAGTGTATGACTTAAACAAAAAACTATAAAATTACTATAGTACCTGTAATAAGTTCAAGTACGTGTTGACTAGACAGAAAAAAAAAATTGTGTATTGAAAATCAACGTAATTTCTCTTATAGTACTTCTGTATAGTGGTTGAAAATACATTTTTTTTTTCTTGAATTTATCGTAGGTTTTATATTCTGAACGAAACGAAAAATGTATTGGTTTTATAATTATTTTTATTATTTTTTTTTATTTTCTTCACATTGTGTACATAAACGAAAAAGATTAAAAAGTTACAAATAAACTTGTTATTTGACAACCGTTTTTATTTATTTTTTGTTATTATTAAGTTTTTATTATTTTAATATTTTTTTAAACAACCGTTTCTCTCGCGAAAACGCACACTGTTGAACAAGTAATACTATTGGCCAGGCTCCGCTCAGAATCGTTTTTCGTTAGCGATGATTGATACAAATTTAATTCCCCTCTATATCCTAACTTTTCAACTTCTCACACACAACAGTGGCCCACCCGTGGTGCAAAGTATTGTCCGTCCATTTTTTTTTCATGCGTATTTTACAAACAGTACGACACGTGCACATCGGATTAGTTTCACAATTTGTCCGGTTTTCGACGGGGGAAACAGAGGGATTGCCATTTTGCGAAGTTTTTGGGACGTTTTTTTAAATTCGAAACGGTGTTATTAGATATGATATGTCTAACAACACAACGATTGTAATTAACAACACACGAATCGAATGCGCCAGTTTGATTGCAAACTCTGGATTCGTGTTATTCTACGCGCGGATGTTTCGCGAAAACCGAAACATCGATGACGCGTGTAAGCCCCGTGTGTATTATTTCCGGCGATCGGAATATCCAAGTTCTCGCGCAATATCGTAACACGTGTATTTCCATCCCCCGTATACCCCCGTGCCATCTGGCGGTGACGACGTGAACATCACTCCTACCGGGTGGAGGGGAAGGCTTTGAATTACGGTCTGACCAGCACCGCGTATTATCGAATACGTAGTTTATTATTAATAGTAAACAGCATACAGCATGTGTTAATGCGGAAATATTTCGTTCGGAGACCAAACACATTCGCGAGCACTCCGGTATCATATTCGGTCTGAAAACCGAGTGTAATATTTTATGCGTTATGAAAACGCGTTTCACTCGAAATTTAAAGCGAAATATTTCAGCCCGATGCACTCGGATTGAATTTAAATTCTTTTTTTTCTTTTTTTTCTTTTTTTTAGGAATATCTTGGTACTAAAACACACGTGTCGAACCGATTTTCAAAATGTTAACCCTTGCAAGCGACGAGCGCCATTCGCGTTAAAACGTGCGTTTTTTTAAACGATAACACCTATTTTTAGCACCAGGTCCAAACAGTCGCGTATATTTTTTTTTCGAGCGACTCTGAATAATGCGATTATTTCTATCTCCAAAATCGATACCAGGGATGTAACGATCAAAAATATGTTTTTTTTTCCAATTTTAAAACAAAAATGTAAAACGCGTGACTTTATGGTAAGCGAAACAATTTTGCTACTGCTGATTTATGGGGAAACAAATATTATGGGTAAAGGAAATCATAAAATTACGCGTATGCCTGAAATGAATCGTTTAATTTCAGTAACGTCCGTAACATCGAAAAAACATGATCGCGTTTAATTTGTGTAGTCCGAGCGGAACGCGGTACCAATGTGTTTTTTACCGATTATCTCAATCATCCCGTATCTGCTCGGGGGATTTCTGAAATCGGCGATCCAAATATGGCATGCGTTTTAAATGTTTTAAAATAATCGTGTTTAAAACTTTACCAAATCGGCCGCGTATTTCCGGCGGTTCTTGAAACACAAAAGTATTGTACGCCTGTTCTGACGTCAGAGTACGTCGGAGTCGCTTGGAAAATGCACAGCTATTCGGATGTGGCGTTAAAAACAGGCGTTTTCATCCATATGAAAACATTAGTTTTTAACTTCTTGTTTCCCCCCCCCCTTCCCCGCTCAAAATGCGTACATTCCCGTAGGTGCTGCCGGGAGCGCAGAGAGGAAGAAAACTCCGGTTCGATTCGTTATCCATCCGGCTGCGAAACATCTCGTGTTACCGTTCGAGTGAAACACGCGGTACATTTTTTTCTACCGACTTTATTCCACGTTTTTTTCCATATCGTTATTGTCACGCAATTAACCCGGTCCGTTGCGCGCGTGCCCGTGCGCACGTGTCCCACCGCAATATAATATCGTGTGACAACGTTCCCCAGACACATCGCAAAAACGTTCTCCTGCAATCCGGACGTTCTGTCGCGTTTCGCGCGGACGCGGTACGATTATCCAGTAACAACTTGGCTATTTTAAGTGGTTTTCGCGATGAATCATTTCTCATGGCGGTATTCGTTCGGGATGTTATTTTTTTAAAAAAAAAAAAAAAAACGTTAAATTATCACGTACCCCTCCTCTTCCTCCCTCCCTCCCCTCCCCCCAATCGCCGTAACCCGTCGCTGCTGAAACACTCCCGGGGTAAAATGTGATTTATGTACACGGGTACCCGCCCACCGCGAAAACAAACAATTAACTGTTTTTAACATTATAATGTGTACACCAAACACGGTGTTGTAACGTGTCGAGCTCTTATCGTCCGGCGTTTTTTTTCCAAATTACCCATCGACCCCGAAAACAATGCTGGGGGATTCACGCCAATAAGACTCCGACATCCGTTTTATACTTTTTGCCGACTCGTGATTACGATATTTTCCAATCGCGTCACGAGATTCCGGGACTTATGAGCGTTTGCTTGGTTTGTTTATTTTATTTTTTTTTTTTTTTTGTGCGTGTCTTTAAATCTAATAACATAGTACAGTAGAAATTCGTGTCACGTTACAAAAAGTTAAAACGTGAAATTTGAAAATCCTTTTATTATTATTATTATTATTATTTATGTTGTTTTTTCCTGATTTTTGCATATTTTCAACTATGTGATTACGTAAGCCACTGACAAAACCCAGATTTTTCACTCCCTATGATTTTTGAATAATTTCGCTTTTGTATTCTATTATTGAACTCTTATGTCTTTGTTCACATTATCTCATCCACTTGTGTCGGTCATCTATTCGCGATACAAATCCACAAAAACGCTTTCTACTAGTTCTGTTTGTTTTTTTTTTATTATTTTTAAGTACGTATTTCAGGGCTGTAATAAAAATTTTAAGCGCTTTTTCGTTAATTTTAAGTGCTATAAGTTCCGAACCCTAATTGAAATTTGTTTGCCGCTTTTAAAAACATACGAAAAGATTCGTTTATTAATTTGATTTAGTATTGTTGTCATCGTATAATTTTCGTTCGGTACAGCCATTATTTTTTTTCGCTGATAATTTCAATACATTTCAAACCTATTGTCGAACTTAAAGTTCAGATTATCGCCTGTGTTCGCACGTTAGTTCTTTTTTCGATATTTTGATTTCCAAGCAAGGTGCAAATTTTTTCAAATTGTGATGTTTCGCGATGGCTCGTGTCTCGCTTAAAAATTAAAATATCGAAAAACAAAAAAAACGACCCCAACGCACTACCGCGCAGACAACGTTCTCACCTTTAAGTTACAATAATATGGATCCACCACTGGCCCGTAACAACCCGAAGAATCGGCTATCGGTATGATATTATTGTGTACGTCGAGTCGTCCAGCATATTCGAGAATAGACGATATTCGTTTGAAACAGTTTCCAATATCGGACAGTGTTTAGTAGTTCCTATGCATAATAACGCCGCGACGAGCTCAAAAGCAAACCGTTCCCCAGACACGTTCGTTATTCACACGGCTATAAGCGATGTAACGTACAACACCGAAATTCGATTTCCGCGGTTTATTATCATCGCCCGACCATAACTGACATACAGACTGCGCGCAGCGGCGAACGCAGACCGATGGAAACCCGTCCGAAGCACCACGTTTGGAACAGCAAATCGATTGACGGCAGTGGGAAAATCAAAAACCCGCGTCGGGTCATTTGTTTTCTCTTTCGCAAAAGCACCCGGAGACATTATTGTTTTTTTTTTTCCGGCGTTCGCGTCACGCAAACACGATTCCGCGTCGAAAGGTCTCGGTTTCGAGAACGTGCGCGGTACACCGCAGACACCTGCGGTATGTGTTATGACGGTATTTACCCGCGCTGTTGCTACGGATTATCATTTCGGCTGAACGGTAGTTCCGAGCAAAGGACGCGCGACATTTGAAATTTGTTAATAATATTGTTGTTTTTTTTTTTTTACCCCGTTTCCTCAGTGTTATAATAATTTAGGTATACTTTACACGTTTGACAATTCGTTCGTTTAGTCGGTTTTTGTTGTGACGATACAAGAAAACGTCGCGTAAACGTACGCCGTCGTACACATAATAATATTATAGGTATATTTTTTAAAATTAACGAATATTTGTTTTATATATTTTAATGTACAACCGAAAAAGTATACCGCGTTTCGATCGCGGGAAATTCGACAATTGTAATAAGTACGATGTAATTTTGTGTATAAAAAGTATATGTAATATGTAATTATACGAAACTATATATTAGCGAAGAGCTGTGTAATTTTATGTGAATATATTCTATTTTTGTTTTAATTATTTCTAATAAATTACATAATCATTTAGTTTTGTTTTTCGAATTTAATTATTGATTAAAAAAAAAAAAAAAACATAGTAATTACAAAAAAATCGTACGAATCGAATTGCTTCTGAAACGCAGTTGAAAACGATTAGGGTTGGACCGATACAAAAAAACCGATGCCTACATATATATTCGTTATCGACCGATATTGGATGCACCGGGTTTTTTTCTTTTGTCTGTTTATTTTTTTTTTATGTTTTCGAAACCGACAGTAAAGTATGGCTGTCTGTCGGACGTCTCCCTGGCATATCAAACAGTATCGTAGAAAAAAATAAATAAAAACAATAACCTCGGTTAAGTTCAACGTCGACCCTCGCACTGGTTTTATGCACGGGAACGGCGGTCCGTCCGCGAAAACCGTTCTGGACGTTAACGTCGTGACGCGTGCACACCGAATGGACTCCGCCGTGCATTATGATTTCCAATTTGTATTATTACTGTTGTTATTATTATTGTACACGTGCTGTAGTAACCTGTTGTACTGTTCGTGTGAATGTTTAAAACACAATCTTCCGTAAAGAAATATTGCGTCGCGCGCGTGTAAACGCTTAGGACGGGTCGCGTGAAAAACCGATCGGTAAATAATCTGACCGTGAACCATCCTGTACAGCGTAATATACGGGTGGGTATGTCGTGCGTTCCGTAAACACTTTTTTTTTTCAAATCCCTCCCACTCCCCTCCCCTCACCCACCCACCCCGCCGTTCACAATCGCCAACGGTGAAATATCGCCAGCGGATTTAGGCCCCGTGTTTGTCTGCGCGGCGAAACACTGCACTGCTCCCAAAATCGGGGCCTGAGGTATTACGGGTTTCAGCAGACGGACGGGTGTGCGAACAAACAGGCGACGGCCTGTGTCTTTGCTCCGGTCTGTTTAAATCGGTACCCCACTCGGTTCGTGCATTCGGCCCAAACCCCACCCCTCCGCCATTCGGTCATTTCGCCACGGGCGTTAGAAATTCCGGTCACACACCGCCGGCCGGTACCGGCGGGGCCGCGTGAGCCACGCGAGCCCATTCCGGTCCCGATAAAACGATAATAGTTACAGAGCCGTTTTCAGCGCGGCGCGAGCCGCTATGAATGACCGACCGTTTGTGTATTATGGTATGCGACCCGTCCTCGTTTTTTTTTTTTTGTTTTTTTTTCCGTACTCAATAACGTGCGCCCCCTTTAAAAAAATGTCTAGATCCGCCGTCGGTCCGGCCGAAATGAGCCACGGAACATTTTCGGATAAAATACGTTTCTGGGGGAAACATTTTTCGGATTTCATACGGTTCTGACCAAATATTTTCGGATATTTCACGCGACCCCTTTATTAACCGTTATAGTTGTTACCGTAAAAATCTGTGATAAAATCAAATTTGGTTTTAAGATAGGGTACCAACGCCCGACAATATCGCGCCGAAACAACACAGCCGATACATAACGGCATTATCGATACACATTGTGTTATTTTTAATAACGTGAACAAATCAGATATCTGAATATATATAGTTTTTTTTTTATTATTATTATTCCTGTCTACCGTCTACGGAAGAAATAATTCAAATATTAAGTGTATAACATCAAAGTTGTCCGAATATTATAATAATATCTTGTTTCTTTTTTTTCTTTTTTTTTTTCTCCGTAATGTTATAGTCTTTATAGATAATAATAATATTTATAATAATGTACCTATGTGAATTTTTTGTTTAGTGATTTTCTATAAGACTGCCTAATTTCTTAAGTGTATAACTCTTATAATATTATGTCTAGCGCCCAATATTTATTATTATTTGACTACTTATTATATTGAATGTTAACTACGTTATAGAATTACGTTTTTGCAGTTTTGATTTCCGTACAATAACACAACTCACACTCATCGCGGTCTTTCCCTCGCTATTTACGTAATTTACTACCAGCGCGCTGCAGCGTCTGATAATTTAACTACAGACCCCCCCCCCGAATCAACAAAACCAAATTTGTACGACTATTATTATAAATGATATTATTTTATTTTACAATTATTATTATAATTGTTATTGTGTAATTATTACATATTGTTATACAGAAATTATCGAATAGAATGCATAACTTTGGGACTTTTTGAGACACGTTTGAGATGCCTCATTGATCACGATGTGCTGGCTGTTTTACCGATTTTTTTTCAAATAATTAATCATATTTTATACAAGTAGGTACCCGGATCAGCGGCGTAGCTGAGGGGGGGGGACGATGAGTGGACCTTGCCCCCTTGGCATTTTTTAGTGGTGATGTTTTAATCACAGCTATAGCCTATAGGTAATACAATACAATAGTATATTTATACCCGTGGTATATTACAATTTTTGAATCACCACATCTCCTTTGATTGAGCTTCAGTTACACCACTGACCTGGATGCTTATTCTTTCCAATCCTACTTAGTCGCAACCATAGGTACCCGAAGAAATGGGGTAATTACAAATTATAAACAAATTAAAATTTGTAAGTGATCGAACAATGAAACGGTCATTATTGCCTTTCTCTTGGACAAATTGTTGTGGACTTGCCCCCTCCCAAATTGCTGAGTGCACCTATGGTCATACCACACATAACACCTCTTTTATTGTATCCAACTACCCAAAATCTACCACATACATCATCGCTCAATTCAAATCAGTGGTATACAATTTCCTTTTTATCACACAGCCCTTCTGTCGCTTCCCTCCACTTCATCCAGCAACGCCTAATTCTTCTATAGTTACATTCTCCATAATTCCTCCACTCTTTAGCATCGCCGAATTTAAATACTTGGACTTCTCGACTTGATTTATACCTCAGAGCCTTACACTATAATGTAATGATCTTCATTTATTCAAATCTCTATAGTGAATCTTTCAAGATAAAATATTATTACCTATACAGTGTACATTAGTAATATGATGGTTTACAACTATTTTATTGGATCCTAAAACGGTTTAGTATTGCCTATATATTATTATAGTAAACAAAACTCTGGTATCGATATCCGGTCATTTATTATCTTTGCCATAGTTTACTACTTTACTAACTGCTTAGCATCGTTATCAGGTTTTATTACTTTTCCGGCTTTTCGTATCCTACAGAAGAACCCCCTCCACCTAGACACGCCAGTCTAAAACGGACACTGCGCCGAACATGACCGAATTTCGACGATAATTCGGAATTTATCGATCGCCATTGCTGGAACTCTAAACCTATTCCTGCAATAATCACTAATCAGACGTATTACTGTGTTTCTGTATATTAAAATGAAAAAGATAGGAAGGTACCTCCTATTGTATAGGTCATTAATATTTTTCAATTCCGTATCCAAACGTGATAATATATATGTATGTAGGTATTTGTGGAAAAGATACCTACCCACATCATATGATAGTATTAAAATATATTTTAATAACCTGTATGCATTATGCAAATACCGAGTACACAATAATATATGCACGCGCGTCCATAATATTATAATGAATATGATGAATAGACATATCTGAGTTTTAATAAAATTTTAAACTACACGTCTATACAATAAAAAACCTATGTAACCTATGTAGGTATCCGAGGGCGAAGTATATCAAAGAATTTCGAAATGTATTACTCGGGGCACCGGAAGAACTTTAAACGAGAACTGGCAGAAAATATAAGCAAATATCATTTTTGTTTATATTTTTTACTGCATAAATACCTACAGAAAAATGGATTTTCTTTCGAACAAATACTACTATTCCTACACGAGCCTTCTCGTGTGGTTTTCACAAACCATAGTTTTTAGATTCCGAGTGTAGATAAGATGTTTTTTTTTTCTCTTTTTTTATCCTATGCACAAAGTTTGACCATAAATCTTACTCAGATTTATACGCGCGGCACCATTTCTGAAAGGAAACATTATCCATATGGTACTTTTCGGAGTTTTTTTTTTATTTTCCAAGCGGTTTTAATAATATCGGAGAAAACCCAGGATAAAACGTAAGATAAACGAAAAATTTACAAAAAAAAAAAATGCTTTTGTTATTTGTTGAAATTTAGTTTAAAATATTCGTATCGACTCTATGGACTCAAAATTTGGATAAAAAATGTATATTCACTTCTTCTAGACGTGGTAAAATTTTCAAAATATTTAAGCCATTTATAGATATTTTAATTTTGCGAGTTTTGTACGTAATTTTTATTCGGTAGGTACTTTGTGGTAAAACTGTTATACTTAACAGAAATGCTTGAAAACTTAATAGGAGGTTCATTAAGAGTCTTAATTTGTGGTCAAAAAAAGAAAATTTGAGTTTAATATAGTATTTTTTTTGTAAAGAAATTTTAATATCAAATTTTGACGAAAATCATTAAGTAAAAAATTATGAGGAACAAATCCAATTTTTCGATTTTTTTTTTTTTTTTCTGAACATATGTATATTGACACTATTTAAGAACGATGGTGAAGTCAGAATAGAGCGAATTGACTAAGTTTCGAAATTATAACTTTTTGAAGTTCTGATATTATGCGGATATTATATGGTACGTTAAATAACTAAATATTGTCATCAAATAGCACAAGTATTTTTTTTGTATACGAATGGTTATATATGTCTATTATCATCAAAGACGTTCCGGGTTCGAATCCGGGTCTCAAACAAAAATGTTTGCTCTTTTTCTCCTTTTTACTCTAAACAAGGAAAAACAATTGCATTTTGGGTGTACCTAGAGACCCAAGTCATCGCTCGCTTGGACTATTTTAATCGCGAAATACCTCTCGATTTGTTGTGCAAACTTTTCTACCAAAAATCTTGCCCCGATGTATCAAGTGTAGCTTATTTTCTGATATTCTGGAAATTTTATCTCCATGGTAACTTGAGGAGGTCATTTTTTGATTTTCCCAGGAGTTATATAAATAAATGGAAAAAATCGTATAAAGCGAAGAAAAAACGGGAATATATACAAAATACATTAGTAAAATATTACGAGTTTTTTTTTTCTGTAGACAAATTTTCTCCGATTTACAATGATAGCACGTTTTCTAAAAATAAATCTGACTGGGGAAGTACTTTGGAGAGGTTATTTTTCGGTTTTCCTAAGAGTTTTCCCAGCGAATATGAAAGACCGGGAAAAACACGGGAAAACCGGGAAAATCGATGCAACATTGAACAAATATTATTAAATAAAATGTATAATGCCCATTTTATTATTTTACCATAATACGACATTTATATTGTTTACAAAGCATCACTATCAACTGAACTGCGCTCAGAATCATTTTTCCCTTAGCAATGGTTTATCGTTGCTTACAGATATACGTTAAATTACCTATAACAGTAGCTGCACCGGGCCCCGTTATGCTGGGACGTCTATTCAAGTACTACACCCGGTGGCGGCCCGTGGGGTTCATTGCAGGTGGGGCACGAAAATTTCCCTCATTTTGTACTATCACAACTTTGATCTTACCACCGATTTCTGTTGATTTTTTAAATAAAATATAATTAATTTTATATAGGTTCGTTTTAGAACAACCACATAACCAATCATGTTTTGAGTGAACGTCTTTATTAAAACTTCTTTTAAATTCTCTAGACTTTGTTTTTTTTAATATTTGTATTATATTTAAATTTGGCATTGGCCTACCTTCGTTTTTTATTTCAGCCTTTTTCTCAAGAGGTAAACTTGAAAAGTTGATACTCAGTAAATACTCGACCGTAACACAATATCTGTCCATGATGAATAATAGAAAAAATATTTAATAAATTAGGTATTGTAAATTCGTAAATATTAAATTACACGCACAAAACGACAGTAAACAACGAACAGAAAGAATAATAATGAAAATATTTAATAAATTATGTATTGTAAATTTGTAAATATAAAACCGTACACAGAAAACGACAGTAAACACGAACAGAGAGTGAACAAAAAATGACAGTTTTCAATCATATTATCAAAATATAAATTCTGTGCCACGAAAGACGGTCGACGACAGCAATACGAAGTCGATAAGACCGGCGAAATCCCGTGAATCGTAATAAAAATAGAATCCGGGCACGGTCCGACTGTGTGAATACGGCAACGCCGTGTTAATTCTTGTCGAAAAGTGGGGGAAATCTGATACCGTTCATCGGCGGCGGCGGCGGCGGCGGGCACAGATTCGTCGTGCCCGCCGCCCGACGCCCGGTCTAATAAACTATCGTACGTATTGTACGCCGGAGCGCCCGTATTTATTTTGATTACATTTTTTTATTTCTCTATGATATTTTCAAATAATATGCCAACTGTCTGTATTATTATGATGGAAACGCCGACTCAGTTTTAATTCAATATAATTTCCCTTCTTTCTTTCAATTTTGTAGGTAGGGCACGTGCCCGTGTGCCGTGCCGTGTAGCACGAGCCGCCACTGATTATACCAATGTTTTAAAAACGCCTGGGTGTGTAGTTATCTAACGGTATTGTTTTCCGTAACTTTCATAATAGGTGTTTTTTTTTACCCATAAACTACTCTAAAGGCATTTTCGTTTGTTTTACGTTTGTTAACTGATCGAGCTGTCACTACTGGAAAACATCCTATTTACGTGCGCTTGTCGTAGACTCTTGTATTCGATCGTGGCGTTACACAACGCCACTCGCCAATACTAGATATGTATTATTGTTGTCATAATAATTGTTAACCGTGCGCTCGTCCAAAATCGTATTTTAAAATAAGAAGTGAAAAAATTAAACCCGGAGTAAGTATCGAAGTAGCATGATAATACGCTCCCAATGAGTGAAACAACTATACCTTATTCATTATACCTAGTGTTGTACCCGTGTACGCGTAAACGTAAACGGTTAGGTTCTAGTCGTAAAAATATCCGGAATGATTTATGCGTCATTTTTTTTTTTTTTTTTTTTCTCGGGCACCAAAATACCATAGACCCGTGGCTCGTTGCCTGTTGTGCCAACCTATCGGTACGCTACTGGGAGTTAAAACGTAGTGGTGAGCGGATCAAGTGTGATCAAGTTAAGTTTCAGTGTAAGGAATGGTTGAATGTATTGTTGATACTGTATGTTCTTTGAAAGATTAAACAGATATCATGGAAAGTTGATGCATTTCATGCTTGGCAAAGTTTACAAGATTATAAAATCAATGGTACTGCTAAGATACCCTGTGAGTCTGTATTCTGCGAGTTTTAAATTTTAACTACTATTAATGTACTGCATATAAAAATAAAAGCAATCTGTTTAAATAGATTACAAAACTAAACGAAATAGTTGGCTTGTTAAAACAACAGTGTGCATAATCGTAGGTCAATGCAAAGTCAATAGAACAAGCTATTATAGATATTCCTGAAATTCAACAGAAGCCGTTTATAGTAGCAAAAACACTTCATTAAAGATATTCAATATTACTATGCAACATAAGCAGGAATTTGCATCAGCTACCATGGGTTCTTTTTTAGTAACAAGAACATATTTTATTTGTAAGTGTTCTAATGTACCTAATAGATAATGCTAAAAAAGAAAAGAAAACATATTTTTTTTTGCTCTCAGTTATATACTCGTACCAATTTATGTGTATATTATTTTATATCATAAGTACCAATTTACTCATCTTAAACAGAGTGCTAACTTCAAGCAGAACTGTGTGTACACTGACTAATTTTTAATTTACTAGATTATTAAAACTTCATCGACAGAATGATTTGACCCGTACTTTTAAAGTTTAAAACGCAGTTATAAATATATTAGAATTTGAATTTCTTTGGCACAATTAAGGATAAATCTATCCTTAATCTGTCTTTGATTTTGGTCATGACTTCAATAATCAATATCATCAATACCTAGTCAAAGTAAATTTTAAGTATCATTGAATGATCAAATATTATACTTTGTCTTGTGATTGTTAATGTAACTGGTGATAACACATATTCATTGATATTACATTATTGATGTATAAAATTAGAAATTATGTTTTTAAAAACAATCATATCTCTTAGCATAAAAGTCATGTATACTTAGAAATACATCTATTTAACCGAGGACAATTGTGTCTTTAAAAACGTTTTATGTAATATTATTCATTAATTTCACCATTTAGATCATAATAATAAAAACTAATAAAATCCCAACGCTTTACATGTAAAACTCACTTCATTACCATCACTGACCCAAGCACATTCTAACGATTTGTGATATTTTCGGACTACATTTTTTCAATCCAGCTGCCCGTGTTTGACGACCTTTCTATAGTGTTCATGGTAATAGTATAGTGTAATAATGGTTAATAATTCATATCAAAAATCAGTTTATTTTGAGTAGCTATGAGTGAAATACAATAGTAAAATCATAAAATACTGATGCAATCATTTTCGGACGCAAAATAAAGCAACCGAACCAAGAAAAGAACCAGTCTTTCTTACCGGGTGATCGCTCTACCAAGGAGCTACTCAGGTTGGAGGGGGGGGGGGTTGGTGGTGTAGTCAAATATACGATTGAAGGAATGATATGTCACTTAAAGAACTGTATCAATACAATATTATAAAACAATTAGTATGAATATTTTAATTTTAAAAACAAAATGTTCTATAAATTTGCAAGTATATTTACCAGATACATAACATTGTATAATAATTATGCTATTCTAAAAAATAAAGACATTTGTAGGTAAAATTTTATTTATAATAAATTGTCCCATAATAATGATTAATAATTAAAGCTATATTATAATACTAATAAATTGTATAATTATAATTGTAGACATTATTTACAAATAAAACAATAATAATAATAATAATAATAATAATAATAATAATTAGGTCATTTGTCATTAAGATTGCAATAAGATGTCTTTTTTTTTTTTTAACAAATATATATATTAAAATTTTGGAATATACATGTTAACAAATTTGTAAATGAATAAAATTTAAGGAACTAGAAAATACAAATAAAATTAATAATAGTAATAATAATAATAATTACAGAAAATTTATGTTTAAAAAAGGTAAAAAATAAAATATTCTTTGTTCGAATTATTAAAACATTGTACATCAATTTATTCTAGTTTGCACACAAAAATACAAAAAATTTGATGAAAACAAAATTATTTTATTTACAATTTTTTTTTTTTTATTATTATTACTATTTACTATTATTATTAAATTTAATAATACATTAAAACCTCTCGAAATCGCTCTGAAAATGAACACTTAGTTGTTTTTTTGCGTTAATTCGTCATAGTAGTTTAGAACACCTTTTGGATATTTTGTTTTTTGTACTTTCACAAAATTAATTTTTGTTAGTCATAAAAAAAATTATATAAAATATATGATGAAAAAAAAAAAAAAAAAGTAAATGATAGTAAAAAAAATGAATATAAATTGTACAATAACTATAATGATATAAACAGTAGACACAAAATAAATGGGATGATGTGTAATCTAAAAAATATCATTTGAAATTATCAACTGTGATTGTAATAATGCTTGAAAATTACAAAACAATTAATTTGTATATATTATGAATATATGAAAAATTACCAAGAAAAATTTAAATCACTGTGATGAATTGTATAAGTCTTATTTACCAACTATTTTTATTAACATATAATTAGCAAAAAGTAATAAACTAATAACTGTACATTATCATAGCAAGTTATTAATACAATTTAATACATTAATGATGTTAATTATGTACATTTGAATGAACAAATTGTCTAGTTATTTGATTAATACTGAAAAAAAATAATTAATTAAAATATACAAAATATAAATATATGAGTTTTTCAGTTTATACTAAAATTGTGTTAATAATTGGCAAATGCAGATCACATGAATATTGTGTTTAATATAATTGTACAAAGAACAAGAGTGTACGCAAATGAGCTTAAATAAGAAATTGTTAACTTATAAATTATCCTATATGCAAGTTATAATTGCACCTGTTACAATAAAAAATAATAAATAATATACCAAAATTATAGAAAAAAATTAGATTAACCGTTCCTTATAAATCATACACGAGTTCTTTGTGTTTCATATAAACAGCAAAACAATCACAGTTTTAAAACATTACACAGTGAAGAGCATCAGTTACTGAATTTATTACTTACTAAATTTTCTAGTATAACAATGGGTTTCTTTTAATTATGCACACATTGAAAATATGCATATTAATTATTATGGTAAAAAAATGACTTATTACATACAAATGTTTTTTAAAATTTTAAAAAAAAAAGATATAAGAATTCAGTAAAATGTGTAGACAAAAGAAAAACAAATTTATCCTAAGTATTTTACAACCTAATATTGAATAAAATAACAGTATCTAATAATTTGTAATAAAAATAAAAATAAGTGGTTATCTAAAACTAAGTAGTATAAAACAAGTAATTCATTAATACCTCAGATAAAGAAAAAATAAACATATAAGTTATAAATCTTTATGACTTACCAAAAGTAATAATGGTCAAAGACATATCTAGCAAATTTTAATGATAGATGTTGTGCAAATGGTGTTGTTGATGTTTGTGTGCGTGATAAATCGCAGCAGCGTGTTGCATATATATGGCGGCTGCTTGTGGATTAGCGCCATGTAGAGCGATGACCCGTTGCATAGGCCACTCCGAGAGGCGGGCGTGATCTCAGTAACCCGATGCTTCTTTATATTCAGACCCCTCCATTGTAAAGAAGTCTTCCAGCTTCCACTGGAGTGTTTCAAATGTGGGCCTCTTCATTGGGTCTTTGTGCCAACATTCTAACATGATATCATACAACGCCGTTGGACTATTAGGTGGCATTGGCATTCGGTAACCATGCTCGACTTGATGCAATACCTCTGCATTGGTCATACCTAAAATAATTGTGAAAAAAAAATTTAAATGTATTCAAATAGTATCTAAATTAAATAAGATATTTTATTTTTGTACATATTTTGTGTATACAAAAACTATATTCAAATATTTCATGAAACTGGCCTGAAATCGACATTATGTTACATCAGATATAAATGTAAATACATATTAATTTGAAAACTTTATTTGTATTGCAAATTATTTATTAGTGTTAACCTTAAGTAGCCTCCTGGTAGTGTAATAATTCTGTAACTACTAATTACTAATACAATTTGTAAATCTTATTTATTAAACATATTAGATGAGTAGGGTTAGGATATTAATGAATATATAAGAGGTAACTTAGGCATGGTATTGATAGTAGACAAAATGAGAGAAAATAGACTGGGATAGGGTAGGCGTATCATGAAGGAATCTGAAGGGGAAAGAATTGTAATTGAGATGAAGAGAAAGACCGAAAAAGAGGTGATTGGGCGCAAATGAGAATGATAGGACAGCAAATGTATACGAAGTGGAAGATCGGGTTAAGTGGAAATTTAAAACAAAGGTGGACAACCCCAAATTGTTGGGATGAAGGCAAGAAAAAAAAAAAAGCATAATATTTTACCAGGATAAGGTATACGCCCATAGGTGACCAATTCAGTAAGTAGAATTCCAAATGACCAAACATCAGATTTTATTGAAAATTTACTGTAATTAGCAGCTTCTGGTGCAGTCCATTTAATTGGGAAACGTGCACCAACTCTCGCTTCATACTCATCTTCCTAAAAATCAAACAAAATATCAATTATATTTATTTTTCAATCAATAATGGTTTTCAGAATTTTAACCTTTATGAGACGAGCGAGACCAAAATCTGCAATCTTCACAATATTACTCTCCCCAACAAGTACATTTCTGGCCGCAAGATCACGATGAATATAATTTTGAGATTCAAGGTAAGCCATACCAGAAGCTATTTGAGCTGCCATATCAATTAACTGTTGAAGTTTCAAACCTCGTCCTTTACCTATGTTTACACGAATTAATTATTAGGTGTTTTATAAATTATATACTTTGCATATACAATTTTAATTTTGATACAAAAAAGAACTTGGTTATTCAAATTATTACCTTGTAAAAAGTCTAATAAACTTCCATTTTTCATAAGTTCAGTAATAATATAAATTGGCTCTTCCATTGTGCAAACTGCATATAATTGAATCAATTTCGTATGTCTCAATTTCTTCATGATTTGTGCTTCAGCTAAGAAATCTTTTGGGTCCATTGTACCTAGATAATAATTGAAAATTAGTTTTGATTAATTTTAATATTAATATGTACATGTATATAATATGTAATATGTATATATATATAATTTACCAGTTTTCAATGTTTTTATAGCCACAGGTGTTGTGTTGTTCCACAATCCTTCCCAAACTTCTCCAAACTGACCATGTCCTAATTTACGAACAAACTTCAATGAAGATCTATCAATTTCCCACTGATCTCTTGTACTATGAGATAAACCACCAGTAACTGGTTTCTCAACCTATTATGAAAAAATATAAATACGATTAGAAAATAATTCTAATTCAAACTTTTATTTTCAATCATTAGTAAGCCTACGAAACAAATAACTTTTTGTTTTTCATTAAGTAATAAATATTACCTGTACACATGGTTTACGTAAGTTCACACACAGCCCATCTGCATCTTTACTGTAGTACTCTACTAATTCTTGTAGAGTTCTAAAAGTCGTGCGTCGTGCAATGAAGAATCCACCTTCATCAAGTTGTCTGATTCGGTAATGTTTAACAGTGTCACCATCGCGAACTAAAATAGGTATAAATATAGGTATATATAGATAAGGTTATCAAATATAAATACATAAAATTAAAAATATTGTATTTATTATAATACCTAAACATAAAAATAAATAAATATCTACATCATTCAAACATTTAAGATAATTAATCAAATTGTAAATACAATATTTTGTAGAAAATTTTGAAATTAACGAACTTTTCAAAGTAATAGGTATTGATGTTTAAATTAGTTTAGTTATATAAACAAATTAAATTATTAATTATTATTGTTATTATAGGTATCTAAACTATAAATGCAACCAATTTAATATCATTTTTACTTAACATGTTATTTAATACTTAGGTATAAGTACATTATTTATAAACAAAATAATATGAAGGTCATAACTATATACATAAAATATTAAATTGAATAATAATTGGTATAAATTAAACCACTTTAAAATATAATATGTATGTGTCTACATACCAAAATGTAATATTTTGGATAAAGAAAATATTAAATTAAATTTATAAATTATAAATTACTTTAAAACATATAATTAGCTTATTGAGCATATGAGTATACCGCTGCTGTTGTAGGTGGGAAGTTAGGGATGTAAAATAATATATAAAATAATTTAAATTATGTGTGTAAACAATATATTTATTGTTTCACAAAAAAGAATCTGAACAAAAATTGATCAAACATGTTATAAAATATGATGTTTTAAATTTTGATGAAAATCGAAATTTAGACCTACACTCAAAAAAAAAATAATAAGTACATTTTGCTTAATATTTTTGATTTTACAACTAAGTACAACTTAAAATTAACTTTCTGTTAAATTTTAGACCATTTTTGGAGAGTCAAAAAAACCAAATATAAACTAAAAATACTTGAAAATTCAAAAATACCACAAAAATTACTAAAATATTTTTAAAATTGTACCACATCTAGAAAAAGCTAACATAAGTATTCTGTAGAAATTGCGGATAACTAAATCATTATTGCATACATTTTTTTCCTAATAGTTATGAAAACTATGAGGGAAAATCAAAAAATGACCCCCTCCCCTAATGCACAAACTAGACAAAATTTACTACCAGAAACCACTCCTAAAATTGATAATCGGAGAAAGATTTCTTATAGAGAAATTATTTAAACAGAAATAAAAAACAAAATGGTACACATCATAGTAAAATAAATTTCTCACTTTGTTTAGAATCTAAAACAAATTTAACAAAAACCTAAAATACAAATATTTAAATAAACTAAAACGGCAGTTTTCAACCCATGGGCTGTGATCAACATGGTACTGGGTTGAGATCAAGATTATTAGCCAAGGGTCGACAAATGTTATATTGTTTATATTATTATAATACAAATGCAACTAATATTTCAATCAACATTTATTAATAACCCCACAATTATCACTATCATACAATTGTAAAGATTGTTTTCTTATCTAGTAGATATTATAGAATATTTTTGTCATTTTTATCATATTTTATTGTGCTCGGCACGTTGCTCTATACCTACTTAATCAGTGACTCTCTTGTGGGAGAAAAACAATATCAAAAGTTACATTGATTTTATTTTAACTTTAATAACTTTTTTGTAAGTTGAATATAATAATAAACTTTTTTTTGTACATGATATGTTTTCCTACTTACTGTCAGTCCAAGGGTATACCGACCCAGTTATCCATGGCCTAACTAAAAATCAATACATAAAGAACAATTTAATGAAAACTGTGAAACATCATTGCATTAAAAACCACGTTTAACTGAATTTCACTCAAAACTGTTATTTTGGTTTACTATTAAAACTTATGACAAAATTGTATCAAATGTTTGAATATTTTTATGCATCAAAAACAGTTTTATTCACATAAATGAAAAGTATTAGTAGTTGTTCTACTAGTAATAAATAATGCCTATGATAGATTTTGTATAGTTCTTTATATATTAAGTGTCACATGTATAAAACAGACAATATTATCAAGTAAAAAAAATGTCCTAACCTGAAATATTATACCAGTGCACCCTAAGTTATATCTACAGTTGAATAATAAATAGGTATTTAAATAAAATTTGATTAACTGCTATAACAACCTAAATTTACAATATATCTCTCAATATATAGAATCGACAAAATATTTTTTTTTTTTTTTTTAAATATCTTGTGAAATAAATAACATAATTTCAATTTTTAAGTAGATATATACAAATTTTGGACAATTTATACAAATTACTATATTAATACTAAATTTGTGAGACATTAAAAATATTCCCTAATTCAAGAATACTCCATAAAGGTCACAAAGTTTTAACAATATGAGTTATTTGAACAGTAGACAATTTAGTAACCATGAACACTTATTATGAATTCATGACATAATATTGTCAACAAAAAAAATAATTAGAGACTAACTCTTAATAATGAGATCTAATTGATTATTATTATTAAGTATTAGATAATATAGTTAAAAATCAAGTGAATTTAGTAACTTAATAAGGAAATTAAATAAAACAACTCGTGCATTCAAAATTAAATATTATGATTTAAAAGAATAACAAATATAATAACTTGTATTATATTAATACTTAATAGTGTACAGTTAAATATAGGTACTAAATAATAAATAAAGTCATTAGGATATTTTGGATAAACCTTCTTATAAATGTTTGGCTATTAATCAAGATGAGAATAGTGAAACGAAACACTTTAATAATTGCTATTCAATAGACATAATTGGTTCCAATAATTAAATGTTTAATATAATTAGGTACTGATTAAAACTCACATACCTAGATAATTATGTTATTTATACAATTTGTATTCGTTGTAAAAAACTATTCATATAAATGTTCCAATTTTATTCGATAAATATGTACTTAAAAAAACCTACCAACAGAAATATTATTCCCAAATGTCTAAAGAATTAAATACATCAAAATATTTTTATAATAGGTTAGCACAATAATAGGTATAATCTTTATTTAGGTGTATTTTTTGTTTTTTATAATACTGTAGGACATAGATACCTAGTTCAATGATTTTTGAATGTATAGATATTCAAACATCAACTTATAACAAGTATCTTTATATTTTTGAATATTTTATACCCAGACATTTTAATAATCATATCCACAGATCCACCAAAATACTTTTCGTTAAAATTCACCTATCTTATTTTAAAATTTTAAATATGTAATAAATAAAACAATTATTAAAAGTATACAATTGCAATTGTAATTGCAATTAGCAACGGTAGCATGTATGGTATACATAACAATAATAATAAATAAATCAATGTTCAATTTCTTACCAGATAATGAGTAATCATTTCGTCTACTCTCTGAATCTCTAATTAAAAATGCTCCATGATCATTTTCTGGTAATAGTAGTTTTTTTTCAGCTTCGATCCGTTTGATCTTGCCAAAGTACCACGGTTCAGCTTCAATAGACTTTAATTTGGCCACATAATTAGAGGGTATGTAACCTTCTTGTTTGGTGGCTTTACTCCTGGCCAGCCACCAATCCCCCTGGGTGTCATTGAGTATTTCCAAATGCTCACCCTTTCTGAAGCTCAGGTCTTCATCGGTGCGTGCATCATAATCATAAAGTGCAACAAATATTTTTGCCGACGCATTTGTGGCGTTTGATGGCTCTTGATCGGGCACTGGTGGCATCGGCCCATTCCTGATCTCGCGAATATTATCATGGGGCGGCATGTTCTGTATGGGCACACTAGGTATGGCTGGAGATATGGAATCCTTATTGTTGCCAGCATTGGACGGTGAGCCAGTCATGTCCTTCTTACCGGACGAGCCCCTCTGACAACTGAAGCAGCCGCCCATCTTGCGTAGCGCAATCGTCGTAGCTGCAACGAGTCCACTGGACACCACAAGACTCTCAGGTCTCAGGCGCTTAAGTACATGATAAGACCGTAGTATATATTTTCGTAGCGACGGTCAACAAAACCCAAACATACAAACTTGTCATCAGCAACAGCAAAACTCAACGTCACTCCACGAATAGATTACATCTAAAGAATATGGCATTCGCGGTATTATTCAGTGGTTGGAATGTATTCTACACTTTAATGAGAAACGCATAGACACAAATACACAATTATGAATTAATAAATAATATATATACCAGCTATAATAGTACCAATAGTTAATTAAATATTCTATGCACCCATAAAGTAATGTGAAATGAAAAAAAAATACAAAAGACAATTCCTGATAAGAATTGATCGAGCGGCATGGAAGAAAAACAGCTAATAAAAAAAAAAAGTTGTCCAGTAGAATTTTTTTTTTTTCTTCATAGGACGCGCGTATAATAATAATAATAAATAATACTGCTGCTGTTGGTGAAATAATTCCGCGTCTTCTCTAATTCGTAAACTGAACTACAATTTTAATATTTTGTTCAACGGTATTGCGGAAATCGTTTGGTAAACGCAACAAAATAATATCGTCGAAACCAGGAAAATTCTTAAAATAGGTACTAAAATAATAACGACCCGATATTTTTTGATAGGCATATTAATAATGGTCGTAATACAAATCTGTAGTCGAACTGGAGAAGGGGATTTTACGCACAATAATAACATAATCGTAAACGGTGTTTGCGGGCTACGATTTTTCGAAAGTCAAAACGACCTTGCCTGTTGTTATACATTTTATAATAGTAATAATAATATTATTATTATGCCAAACTACAATAGGTTTGGTATGTCTGCACAACGATAAGTGGGTAGGTACGTAACTATAAGGTAATGAATATATAATTTTCCTTTTTTATTATAAATATAATAATATATTATCTTATACCTATGTAATATTATACATTTGGCCTAAAAATCCTAAATTAATACATTTAGAATTTCTCCCTCTAAATGATTAAATATGTTGTTATTTTTAAATTATTTACATAGATACTTAAATATTTAATCGTTAATTTAATATTTGAATATAATTTTTTTTTTCTCGTTACACAGAGCACTAGCTGTTGCGATATTGCAGTCAAAACTTCAAAAAAAAAAAAAAAATGATATTGTGTGTTACAAAAACCGAACAATTAAAAAAAATTAAAAAATATTTAAAATTAAAAAAAAATACAATTTAAACATCAGTATTTAAAATGTGGACATAGCGTAAAAATGTATATTAATTATTGAGTACCAACATGTCACATGATGTAACAAAACGTGCTTTTAAACTATCAAATTAAAAACTTCTACGATTGTCACGTAGCATTGCCTTATACCTCGAAAAACTTTCCACGTTGGCACAATGGGTGCGTATTTGAAATAAGAAATATCTTCCGATGACAACTCTGCAAGGTCTTCATCGTCGTTAATTATTTTTCCGCTGGTAATTCCAGAATTATTTTTCTGCTTGTGATGATCCCGGATTTTTTGATAAAACTTCCGTCTTCCAATACTTTAACTTTAACAAAATCTATACCTCTTCACTCAATTTATTTTCAACATTTTGAATATATTTGAATATATATATTGAATTATATTTGCCAGATATGTGTCGGCATGTACGAATACGTCAGATTTTGAGTAAAATTTAAAATATTTTATTTAGTATTTATAAAATACGCACATTTTATGCAATTATTATGCATTTTTATACAAATATGGAAAAATTAAGATTAACAGCAGAACCTACGTGTTACAAAACGTCAAGATATTTAATCAAAAATTATTATTATTTTATAATAGTTTTGTTATAAATCAAATGTAGAAGAATATGCAATTGCATGAAAATGCATTATAGTATAACATCAATATCACTATTTAATATATTAAACCAGTGGCATACATATAAGGAGGAGATTGGCGGTTATATCCCCCACATTGGTTTAAAAATACATACAAATATAAGAAGTTTGATATCGAAATGTAGGTATATATTTCAGCCAAGTTACAAGGAAAAGCTTGATTTATTAATTAGAAATTAGTTTTTTTAAGATCCAGCTTTTAAATTGCCAATTCCCATCTTTTAGTTGAGTAGAAAATACGATTTCACGGTTCTTATTTACTATATCCCCTCCCATTGAAAAAGTCCTGGAAACGCCATTATCTTGAATAAATTTAAGAAAATGCACTGAGATAGATACAAAAAAGATATTCTTACATATATAATATGTTGATGGAAAATGGCAATCGTTGTCAATTATATCAATAACCGTGGTTAAAAAATAACCTAACTGTATAAACCATCAGAAATATCAACAATCTATGACATAATTTGTATAAAATACGAATATTGTTATATTGTTATGGAACTTATGTAGTTAAAGCCGTCAGCCATTACATTAATGGCTATTAGAATTTTCGCGAACGTATCTTTGTATTTAATTTGCATAAGTGTATTATCGAATCTTGTATCACAAATACAACAAATTTCCGGTTCACGAACAGCGATTTTAAAAAAAAAGGTACCTACCTATTTGTATCTTATTTATTTTAATAGTTAAATTATTACTAAACAAAAAAATGACTCATAAGGTAAATCATTACAGCGTTTTTTTTTTTATTATTATTAAAAGCTTTTAGCCCAACAATTATAATTTACAATAAGCGATAGTTACAATCCATAAAAAAAAAAAATCAAAATATTAGAAAAAACAAATACGATCCTATAGGTAGTTGATATGAAAAAATTCAATATTGACAAAGTTATTAGCAGTGAAATTAAAAATTGACTAGGTATAAATGTTGATAAATCATTAACCTGAAATTATTATCAAAAAATTATTTTATTTATAATCTTTTGCGTTTTGAGGCTGATAATTTTTCAATATTTATTTTCTCCTTATCAACTATAGAACCTTATTCTTTACTTATAACATTCTATTTTTTACAATGATATACCTTCATATCATTTTTCGTTCAGCGATAATTTAAACCGAAAAAAAAAATATATTCAATATCAGTGGCGTAACTTTAAAATTTAAGTCTGGAAACAAAGTTTTCAAAGTCTCCCTCTCATCCATCAGGCATAATATGTAAAGATGTTTATATGGACCTCGAGGTTCCTCGTGCATCTCCCTCAATGGAATTATTTTATACATCATTTATTAAAAAAATATGTATGCCTGTTTTATTAAACACACATCTTATCTCTATTAATAAATAAAGAATAAAACCCGACGTTTGCAAATTAACAATAAAATTCATATTGTTTTAATCATAAAAGTTATACCGTACTATCGTCTCATGAACTGCATAGCATTCAAGCTCATACGGGCTACAAGTCTACAACATAATAAAAATAAAATGAATTTGACTTATTAAAATCAATAATTAATTATTTATAAAATTAATTATTTACTAGCATGTCATCAAAAGGAAAACATTGTATTACTTTGGGCCCCCTTAAGCGAACGGGCCGGGGCTTAAGGATGGGGGGGGGTGTTGTTGCTACACCTACAACGCCTCTTCTCCCCCTCGCTATGTCACTGGATGTATTATTACAATTTATAATAAACCACTTTTAATCCAGCAAAAAAAAAAAAATTCACTCAGTTCTCGGCACTCTTCGCTAATCTCACTCGAGTATAGGGTATACTCGCTTGAATAATTCTGCAAGTTTACACGAAAAACACATTCGTAAACCCACCTAACTGTCGAATATGAGTTTTTTGTTTTTATTTATCTTTTCTACGGTAGATAGGTGTACTTAATTAATTCACGTGCGTCGCGAAAATGCTATTACTTGTTATTATTATTACTGTTAACATACAACAGTATAGGTAGGTCTAACCCATTCAAATTATTCACCTACCTACATAACAAACAAGATGGAACACATACAAATTACGTAACAACGTATAACATACTGAAAATACTTGTCTGTCGATAAAATTGCTTTGAAAAATGCAAGCCGTGGGGTAATTAAGAATATTAGTAGGTAGATGTCGTCACGTAACGTCTATTTCGCGTATCGCAATATTTAGTTTTCGTTTAAATAACTGCGGTACCCAACTGTGTTACAATGGTTCTGCTAATGCCTGTGTAATAACGGAATTGGCAATATCCACATGCCTATATAGGCTTCACCTGCAACAGTCGGAACTTTGTGCGAATTCAGATTTAATGGCATACCTAAATTAACAAAACTGCAGCTGGCGCCTATTAATAATCAATGATTAAAACCACATTTTGCGAAATGTGTTGTTTTAACCGTTTTGATTGCTATTAAAATAATTCGGTAAGTCGATAATAGGTAAATAGCTGGCGGGTACCCACTTAATAATAAATTAATAACTGACCTTTTTACAATTCTAACGAACACATTAATAGGTACATTACTTACAATGATGTTCAATTATGTCCGTCACACATGTTCGTAGCAGGTACCTAAGCGGATTCGTATGCAAGTTCTGACACGAAAAAAAATATGCCAATACGTGAATTCTTACACGAACAGAAATAATTATTATTTTACAAAATCATTTTCAATTTTTTTATCGGCTAAATCATTCAAAACATATACCTACTGAATTATTATTGATTTTTATCTGTATGTTTAATGATATGCATGCTGACTTTATTTTTATTTAATAAATAGATTGATACTTTGATAGTATCACAATGAAACAACTCTACAATGTTATGAGTAAAAATGTTACTTAATGTCAATTTTGACTTCATTTATTTTAGATTCGGAGCGTATTGAGGAATATATTGATTTTACGATGATGTTTTATTTTTGTTCTGTGAATAACTTTTCTACCAGAAATCTTGCTCCGATTTAAGTGTCATGTTATTTAGGTACCTATTACTAAAAGGAAACTTTATCTGGATGGTATTTTAGGGTAATTATTTTTTGATTTTCAAAGCGGTTTTTATAATAACTGGAAAAATCGTAGGAAAAACAGGAAAATTACGTACATGCATATCACTCCAAATCGTTTTTCGTTAGCAATGATTTATTTTTGCGTACAGATAAATTAAATTTAACTCTATATCTTACCTTCCCAACTTCTCACCTATAACAGTGGCTCACCCATCGTGTGAATCATAATTTATTGTAAATATAAAATTTAGGAGTATACCTATTTTAGGGAATCGTGTATTGAGATAATAGTAAAATTGTGACAGATAATTAATAATTAACAATCAATAAAAACAAATTAATATACTGATGAAATGAAAATAATAATTTATTTGTTGTTTTAATTAGAGCCACAAATTAAAAAATTCTTAAACATGAATTCGACATTTAACATATAATTAATTGATTAATATTTTTAATAGGTAGTTGATTAATTAATAAAAAGTTCCAAAATGTCTGCTTTGCATGGGTACCTACTTATATTTTACAGCTTTAGTGATAGCTTTACCGAAAATGCTAATATTTTGTATTAGAACATATCACCACATATGATTATCTATGGTATTTACTGATTTAAACTGACTAATACTTATTAGGACTTACTTGGTTAAATTATGATTCTTCAAATCAATCAACGAATACATAAGTATATGTTTACATGTAATGTGGTTGATGTCGAGTAACTGGGAGGAAAAGCAAATATAATAAGAACTTTACATTGAATCAAACTTGATTAAAAAGCATAGCAAGTGTGTAAGTATCTTATATTTTCTATGATTGATAGCTCTCTAGGTACCTATACAGTTATTATAATAAAGGTACATAAAGTGGATTTTTTTTATTATCACGAACCAGCAATTTTCTCAGGGGATTTTAAGTGAATTTTTTTCTTAATCACTGTGGAATCACTTAAGCTATATTTTATTTATAGGAAAGTATATGGGATTGACCTAATTTAGATACAGAACATTAAAAATTAACATTCAAAAAACAATAAATATAGCAACATAAATTTTAAAAACATTTTTAAACCAGAGTAGGGAAGAGTTATCAATTTATGATTTTTTAAATAGATTGTTAGTAATTACAATAATAATAGCAATCTATTACCCTTAATGATAAATATGATATTAGTGCTAAGCATTTCAAAATGTCTAGAAAATATTCTTTATTCAAATCTGTGTTTAAAAAAACAAAAGTATATAATTATTTAAGGAATGAGAGGGGGAGGGGGTATAAACCAAAAATTGTTTTAAATAAAGTTTAAATAATTCCACAATAATTTAAAAAAAAAAAAAAGGGAAACAAATTCACTAAAATCTTTCAAGAAAATTGCTGGTTCATAATAAAAAAAATCACTTATTTTTATAGTTAAACTTTACATAATATATTAAAATTCTGATTTAAGGAGAATTTTTAAATGCAGTTAAAGCCAATATTTTCGATTTGACTTAGATTTTTCACAGTATTTAAGTAGTATCCTATAGTGATACTAACTTTGGTTTTTCAAATAAGAATCTATATTAAAAATTGAATTAATAGATGGAATATTAGTGTAAATAAATTTTGATGTTGACATTTTTGAAATCTATCAACCCCTTGACGAGATATTTCACTTTTCGGAATACAACTTTATATAGATATAGTTCTAGAACAGTAATAATATTATAAAGACTAGCTATTTTCCCAGAATTCCACTGCTAAAGGGGAGCTGACATGTATTGGTATTATTGATACAAAACTCAAATTATTTTAGTTGGTTACCTTCTCCAAGGTACAAATGAAAAAAAGTGTACAAAAAAATTAATATTATTTCTTTTGACAGAGCAATGTTAGGTAGAACAACTTATACATAATAAAAACCTAGCAACTAAATCAACAAAATCTAATACTATATTGTTTACAGATTTAAAGACAGGGGCAATTGATAATAGCATACCTAGTATCCTAGCAACCATTATAAGTAATAAATATAAACAAATGCATAATCAGTTTATTAAAAAAAAATAATAATAAATTAATATTTACAAAAAATGGCTCCATCTTTACATTACCAAGTTATACTATATTTTAACAAGTATTTTTTTTTATTGTACTACTTTATTGAAATAATAGTTTACATATTAAAAACATACAAATTACCATATTCGACTAAGACAGCAGTAATTGAATGGCTTATGGTTGCATTATTGTACCCAGTACAAAAAAGTCGTATGGCTTTGGGCAGCAAAGGAAACCTTACTGATAAAGCACCACCAATCGTTATATCTACAGTTCTTAACATCTCAACAATATTGGGTACATTATATTTAATTAAATGGCAGACATATGTAATTTATTTAGAAATAGTTATCGGTTATATAGAATTAACTTTTGAACTGATTTGCTTTGTATTAGGATTTATTCATTTATTAACTCAAAAATCTAATATGTATTAAAAAAAGAATACCTTTTTTAAATAATAATATAATATATTATATAATATAAAATATGTGTTTAACTTTTTACTATTCTTATACAATTTAATTTGAATTTGAATTTAAACATTCATCTTCAGATTCTGTAGTAGATGAATCTACATTACTGTCATTATATGAAATACTAACACCACTATCTTCTATAATTTGATCAATGAAAACTTCTTGCAATTTATGTATTTGTTCATTACCTCGCCTAATAAATGCATTCGAAATTGCATTCAGTTCGTCATTAGCTTTCTTAGCTAAACATGTTTTTAATGTGAGCAAATGTACTTTTTGTACTAAAGACTTATAATCAGGCCTATTGTTGACAAAATCTTTTTCAAAATCTGTTAGTCCTTCACAAGCTGTTTCCCAATTCAATTCTACTTTTTTTTTACGCAATTTCCTGAAAATAATGCAATTTAAAATAAATATTTCATAACTTAATCAATTTCATATATATTAAACACATACTCTTTTAAGTTAATTATTTCTTCTTGTTTATAAGATATCAATATTGTATGCTCTAATTCGCGACTCTTCAATTTATCAGCATATCTAAGAAACACATTATAAAAATATGATTCATTTTATACATATGTATAAATCTTAATTGCAAATATTTACATTGTAAAATATTACAAAAATAATAAATGTCTAAGGTTCATTCTTAAATTGTCCAGTTACACTAAATGGCAGTTATATTTCCTAAAAACTGGTAAATTAAACCATCGGTTAGCTCTTACTGTACATAGTGAAAATAAGCTTAAGTTTCCTTGCTCGTGGTTATTGAATTATTATGAAAACAATTTATTAATAAAATAATGATAACTAAATACCATCTACTTGAATAGTTTACATATTTAAATAATTTTGCTTTAACTATTGTAAATACTTACTAGTTGAGTAAGTCAAGATTTCACTAACATAGTTCTTATTTCCCATAAAAATATATATAATTGAAAATAGTTTAGCATGTTTTTATATAACATCAAAATCAGTTCTTTTCTATAATGCTGTTCACGCCATTATTTTTAAGTACCTACCTGCCTACCAAAATTATATTAGTTTGTATTACTATAAAAAACTAGAAATTGTATATCCTTACAAATTCATAGATTAAAATAGTTTTACCAATTTCCAACAACTCATATAAGAACATTTAAAAGTAAACATATTTATTCTAAAAACAAACTTACTCTTTTAATATTTTTTTCCCTTGATCACCAAATAATAGTGATTTAGAAGTTATCTCTTTACTTTCTGCAAGTACCCAGTCCATGCCTTCAAACAATTCCAATTCTTTTTCAGTGCTCTCTAAAATTGTTTATAATTATATACATACTATTTAGTAATATTTAAAATGAATATGAAATACCTTCAACTGGTTTTTGAAAAAAACTGGAACGGCGTTTTCTAAGGTCAGACATTTTTTGTAGGTATTTAGACTTAAGTGTTCAACTGAAAATGATTACAATATTATCTTGAGGTTTGTTAAAATAAAAACCAAAATACAATTTGGTAATAATTCTAAACAGTAAATTGTATTAAAAGTATTACAAATCGAAAAATCTATATATTACATTGTTTAGTAATTTTCAAATAATAACAGTTATGCATGTTCTGTTGTCAATATTTGATAAGAGAGACCAGTGGTTCCCAAACTGTGTAAACATAATGGGCGGTAACTGGCAATAAATACACACAAATGTACGAAATGAAGTTAACTAAAAGACGCTAAAAGAAATTTTGTTTACTTACAGTATATATTATGCTCATGTTTATAACATTTATTTCGGATAAAGAAAAAATGCTGAAAAGTTTGTTGTCAATTAAAATACTTAGTCATTGTGGTTGGCTAAGCGTTTCTCAGTCCGGAAAACGGTTACATACTTTTGATTTTCAAAAATAACAACCTATATTGAAAATTCTGTAAATAGACGGAGTATTGTTAACATTTTTGATTTACTTCAATCCGTTGACGAGATATTCTATTTTTAAGTATTGGTAGGCGGAAAGTAGCGATGGACTATTTAAACGCCTCACGCTGTGCCGCCATAGATAACAGAATACTTTATTGTCCACGGTTCCGCTACTCTGCTTAATCAGACTTAAAAGTGGAATATCTCGTAAATGGGTTGACGGAAATTATTGATGGGAACAATCGAGTAATTTCAGCAATCGAGAAGTGAATAATCGAGAGATTCACTCGAAAAAGTCCCTCAGTTAATTTAGTATTTCATTATACTCAGTTTCTCGATACTCTGTATAACTTGTATTATTCAATACTTGCTAGTCTTGACAATTAATTATTAACTTCTAGTAGAACATTTCAAAAAAAAAATAAATAAAAACGTATAGTTACAACAACTAACAGGCAATTTATTACCCTTCCCTACTTCTCCGGTCTAAACTTTAAACTGTCAACTCATAAACGGTAAACCTGATACTGCATAGTGTGATATATATCAAAATGTCTAGAAAAATATTCTCTATTCAAATCTGTGTTCAAAAGAGGGGTTCCTATTTAAAAATCAAAAGTATACACTTATTTAAGGTATGTGGAATAGGGGTAAAAAATTAAAAATGGTTTTAAAATAAAGCTTAAACAATTCCATTAAGATTAGAAAAACAGAAATCAAATTCACTTAAAATCCTCTGAGATAATTGCCATTTCATGATAAAAAAAATCATTCTGTATCAGTTGTAGGTACTTATACCGGTTCTGTTTTTCATCTTATTACCGTTTTAACATTTTAATAATTCATCGTTGAATTCTCTAAATATATTCTTGTTGAGCGATATTGAATTACATCCCTGGCCATTTCAAATTTGTTATACCAATTAGTAGTAGGCTGTTACTAACTATATGTAAACAGATAGGTACTTAATAAATTAATTTAATACTTAGTACGTAATAGTTAATAGTTATTTCAATTCACTTTTCATTAAGTACATACAACTACCTAAATTATTTATAAACCGGCGACGGATGTACCTATCTCAAATTAAATTGTTCTGAACAATAAGTGTAGTATTAAGATATTGCCTATAGGGTAAGTATTCGTATGCGTTTCATATAAGTAGGTAATATCCCGAGATTCACACCAATGATCTCGGTTCAAAACCTCAAAACTTATGACCATAATTTTATTATCATCGTCGTTCGTTGATAGGCCTCTGTCAAAATTTACAATTACTCAATAACCGACCGAGACCTGGACGGATTGTGACCTACTCATGTTATAATGTAACACCTAACATTTATTCAATTTTACTACCAGCGTATAACGCAAAAGATTAAAAGTATTAGGTACCTATCTCGGTGAAAATAACGTAAGTAGGTACCTATGACGGTCTTTGAAGTCTAAACGGGACTGGTAATTTTACCTTAAATAAGAGTGAAATCCGTTCCTCCACATTAACCACTGGGTTACCTATGTCTAATCCATGACCAAATATATAGCCGTGGTATACTCTACAAATACCAACTTATAATTTAGCCGATATTTATTTACCTATATTATAGATTCTGAGTGTAGCCACCAATTTATTAGTTTCACAAAGTATCTACGAGTACGTGTGGTTTTTTTCTGTTTGGAACAGACCACATGGTTTACATGTTGTCTGTCAAAAGACTTGCTCCAATCATTTACATCAGGAATAAGTTTTGGTTGTAAATGTTCTCTAATTGATGCATTGGAAGGTCTTTAATATAATTTTTTAACTGGTATGTTAATAAATTAAGTTCTACTTTTTACCTACCCAAGTATTTAACAATTTATTATGCAACACTTTAATTTAAATATTCTATGTATAAGGTAAGAATATTATTGTTGCACAACAGGTGATCAATTACTTAGTAATTGAAATAAACTTAGGGTAACTTTACAGAAAAAATTCAGATTATTACCTACCTGAACAACCAAACACATTATTTTTTATCTGATGTTTCTTCAACCATATTTGATTGCTGAAATATTTAAAAATACATATTTATAATTAATTCTGAGTATGGAGAAAGTTAATTGATTAGGTAAATATTATATTAATATGGGTTGAAAAACATAACACTAAGAATAAAACTTATTTAGGCTATACTTAATTTTTTTTTTCAGGCACGATATTTTAGACATGGATAGTCCTTTAGCAGCCAGTACTCCCTTGCAGCAAGATTCTGTAAAGCGGAAAACATCAAAATGTATTATTAAATCAAAAAAGTCTCTACAAGATTCCAAATCTAATACATTGAACACTACTACTATCAATAGTTTCCCAGAACTTTTTCAATTAGAACTAAGCTTAAAAATGTTTCCAGAAATCATTACACCATATTTAAATAGTTTATCACGTGAAGCATTAATATTAATGAACAACTGCAAGTATTCAATTTCAAAAAATGTCCAAAAAACCATTCAACATATTCAAAACCAACTGGAATCAAGTATGGATACTCCGATTTACACTACTATAGTAAATAAAACGTATCCCACAATACCATTTATAAAGGTTGATTTAGATTATTTAAACATATTAAATAGTAAATATGCAAAGACAGATAAAATCTTAAAATTACTTAAATTATCATTGAATGATAATATTCCAGATAATTCTCTTGATAATTCAATGTCATTATCTATGAATAGTGAAATCTCATCAATAATTAGAACTGAAGAACCTGGTTCATTTTACTATACTGGAGAATTGTATAAATCAAATACTTCAATATTATCTAATAATTCTTTCAATAGTTTAAATAATAGCGTTTCTTTACATCGATCATCTAAAGAACACTGTTTAGAAAACTGTAGTGAAATTTCATCAATAATTAGAACTGAAGAAGCTGGTACATATGAATACACAGGAGAATTATATAAATCAAATACTTCAATATTTTTTAATATTCCCTTAAATAGTTTAAATAATAGCGTTTCCTTAGATAGATCATCTAAGGAACAATATTTAGAAAATTATAATTCTCTACGTGAATATGCAAATGACCCAAGTGAAGACATTTCACAAATTGTCACACCTGTTATTCATTCATTTGATGACAGATTTAATATAGAGAAATTGCCTTCTATTAATAAAAGTAGTCCTAATGATTTTTCATTGGAAAATTATAGTGATTGTAAACAAGTTGAAGCAGAAAAAGATCAAAAGCGATACTGGTTAAGACATCGCCCAAAAGCAACTGATCACTTTTTTATACCTTATAAACCAATACAAAATAAAAAAAAAATATGTCAGAATAAGACCAATTACAATGATGTGATTATTAATCAAGGCAAAGGTAAAAAAAAAGTAACTCTGAAGTATAAATTTCATTCAGTAATAAATAACAATTCATGTCTAGAGAATAACACTGGTTTTAATAAAAATAATACCATATCAAATATTTCGATAAACCCAAGAAAAACCGATAAGCCCTGCCGTTGTGGAATTTATCCATCCCAAGTTCCTTCTTCTTGGAGTAGTGTAATGCATGAAACTGTCCATCAAAATTTATATAAACTTCAATTCAAGAGTCAAATTAATATAGAGTATGACGTTCTAAGTAAAGTCAATGACAATGGATTTCTTTATGACATTATAAAAATTACTAAAGACAATAATAATGATAGAAACTTGAACTCGTTATTAAAAAACATACAGGATTTTATTGATTTAGAATTAGATTTTTCAAACAAAAAATTAAACAGTAAAAACCATTCAATATTTTTAGCGGTAAATCCTAATTCAAAAATTATTGGATATTTAGAAATAGATTTTTTGGAAAATGCTTGCATTTATCAAAATAATAGACTTTCAAATAATTTGACTACGGTCAAATTTGGAGTATCAAAAATATGGGTGATGGTCAAGTACAGGAATAAAGGAGTAGCAACAAATCTGTTAAAACAATTTCAGGATGAAGCAAACGTAAATGCAAATAATATTGCATTTGCCTATCTTGGAAGTCATGGAATTCCATTTATTAAAAAATACTACGGTAATAACTCTATTTTAATTTATTAAAGAATACAAATGTATTTTTTTTTTAATTTATAAATAATATTCAATAGTTGTTGTTTTTAAATTCACCTTTTATTTAAAAATATTATTAAAATTCAACTTAAATCAAACCACAACACATTTATGTTAAAATTGTTTAAATATAGAATTTAGACATTAATAAATTAAATATAATAACATGTGTTTAGTTAAAAAAAATATATACAATTACCTATATAAATACAATAATTGTGTTTAAAAATTTCATTTTAAAGTACATGCAATAGAAATTATTAAAAACCAAAAGAAAAGTCCCCAATCCTGGAGAACAAGGACTAACGAGTAATGTCTTACACATGATACCTATAGCTTAGTTATATCATGGTTTCAAGGCACCTATAGGCTTTAGGTATATCTAGAGATCCTAGATAATTTAATTATGATATCGGGTCTCTAGGTATACATTATTTAGGTCGTGGGCTATTCCATAATTTGTGACCTAAAGAAGATAATCACACTGATTATGGGCTGCACCATAAAACGATAGCAGTATCTAAATACAGAGATACAGCCCGAAAGAACAGTGTGTTTTCATAATATATAATATTCCTTCGAGTTTAATCTTAGTACCTACTAACAAAAAAGAAAACTTACAATTAAAAATACCAGAAATCAGATAATATGTAGATAAAGAATCTTTTAACTCTATATCTATATTAACAATAATAATTGTGTAAGTACCTACCTATAATACTCATATTTATTCAAATTTATTATTTTTATTAATATTATTATTTAATATAATAATTTAATAAATAAATTAATGATTTTTAAAAAAAAAAATTATATTCTCAATTTATCAGAAACATTTGTAAGGCACCTACCATGGTCATATATTGTACCTATAGCCGTGGGTAGATTACACACCCACAGTTGGTTACCTACAAGGTACCTACTAAGTACTTAAAATACTTCCAAATGTAAACAAATTATTTTTGAAAATACTTAACAATAAGTTCCCGAGTCAAACACTCATATACAGATAATAATGTGTAGGCCATTCTACACGACATGACAAAATAATATTTTGTGATGCTTTGCAAGGTTTATAGATTATACTCGCGATTTAAGATCTTAAGAGAATGTTATACCCAAACCTACTGTTTCAGTACTCTCAATCCAATTACCGGGTAACATGCAAAAACAATGCTTACGCGGAATAAGTAAAACTAGCTTAATTTTAATTTTAGAGTAAAAGTACCTATTATGAAATTTATAGAGAATAATATTTTGGAGGGAATGTCATAGGGTCGATATAAAAGATACAAAATCTTTCTTTTTCTTTTGTTTTTAAATAACTGTAACTTGTTTAATAGTTCATGATTCAAAAAACCCTATGACATTCCCTCCAAAATATTGTTCTCTAGAAATTTCATAATAGTTACTTCAATATCAACTTAGGTTAGAAACTATAAGTCAAATGTCAACTTAGGAAAACCTTTTATATGTGATAATATATCGTATTTAATTTTAAAAACGAAAAAAAACGTACATAATCCTAAATATACTATATTCTTTTAGTATAATGTAAAACATACTACATGGCACTCTAATCGAACGACGCGCTGTTGGTGGCAGGAAAACCGTGCGCTTTTTGTCGTATGAATTATGATCTAATCATTTTTCGTGTATGGAGTTTGGTCTCCTTATCTCTAATCTTCATGCAACGGTCTTTTAAACATAGATAATACCACGGACTAAATATATATCAGCTTATAAAGTATAATACATCATTATCTACGCTTTTAAACTAAAATCAAGATAAACCGATTGTTATCATGAATAAAATCTGCTTACCGTAAACCTTTCGGGATTTTCACATTTCAGTTTTCGCCTTTCCGGGGCCTGGGCTTTTCCAGCATTATATAATAACTCATTATAAAAAGAAAATCGTTAATTATTATCACTGTTTACTGCCTAGTAGCTAGTGCCTACAAGCGACATGAACAAATTTGGTTAACACTATACCTACCAGAATTGTAATTGTTTGATTTTGTTTTTTTCTTTAATTTATTGAATAGTTATTTATCTTTTTTGTAATTCAATTTTAAATTAATACGTTATTTAATTTTTAAATTGTGTGTTTAGTTATGTAGTGAATATTTTAAAATGGATACAAGTAACGATTATTTATTAGCTCTACAGTTGCAAAACGAGTTGATTGATCTCACCGATATCGAAAGTACTCGAGGAAGTGCCTCCTATAATGATTCGATTGCATCTACATCCTCATCCAGTTTTACTGCAATAATTGATTTAACGAAATCAGAAAAGACTATAGGTAAAAAAAAAAAAACTGTTAACATTTATACTTCTCCACCAAAACGTTTACGTTATCAAGCTGCAGTGGCTAAAGATAGTATAGTGAATCATTCTTGGGAAACATTAGATCCAAATCCAGATATACATGGTTTGTTTCTAGCATTCAATCGACAATATTTTTGGGGTACTTTAGAAACTGTAATGATACAGTGGAGCAAGAGGATGACAGTCTGTGCTGGTTTATGCAGATTTCAACATGGATTTTGTTCTATAAGTCTTAGCGAGCCATTGCTCAAACTTAGACCTCGTAAAGATTTAGTTGAAACATTATTACATGAAATGATACATGCTTATTTGTTCCTTACCAATAGCAGGGAGCATAGAGATAGAGATGGACACGGAGCAGAGTTTTGCAAGCACATGTATAGGATCAACATTCAAGCTGGTACTAATATCTCAATTTATCATAATTTCCACGAAGAAGTAAAATCATATAAACAACATTGGTGGAGATGTAATGGACCATGTAAAAGTATTAGGCCATTTTATGGGTATGTAAAAAGAAGTATGAACCGTGCACCAGGACCAAATGATAGATGGTGGGTTAACCATCAAACTACTTGCAGTGGACATTTTATCAAAGTTAAAGAGCCTGAAGACTATGGTGCAAAGAAAAAAACAGCTATTAAACAGCCTATTCCTAAACAATCAGTTAAATCTGCTAATAAAATCACAAATTTTGTTAAGATATTAGATACAAAAAAAGTCACCGAGGAGAATTCTAAAATTAAAAAATCTACAGATAATGATCAACAAAAAACCCAGGATGACCCATATATAGGCAATGATGATGATATAACTTTATGTCCTGTTTGTAGTGATCCTGTGTTTAGAGATTTTTTGAATAGCCATTTGAAAAATTGTAGTCAATTGAAACAGATGTTCGGTGATGAAATTGATGAAATGAAAGGTAAATGCAAATGCCTAGTTTGTAATGAAACAGTTGATAGATCCTTAATGGATACACATTTAGATGGTTGCAAAATGTTGATTAATGTATTTGAAAATGACTTTGAAAGTCTTTCTGATGAAAATAATTGCATAAATTGCCCAAATTGTGATAAATTGGTTAAAGAAAGCATTATAAATGAACATTTAGATATTTGTATTTCTAGTTGAAAAAAATCAATTAAATTGTTCTAGCTGTAAAATTGCCTTTGACAGTATTATAGAACTAGCCAACCATATTGATAATTGTATTTGAATTCTAATAATATTTATATTTCAAATTTGAATGTTATATTTTTGTGATAATATAATATAATGTGTATATATATATATTTTTTTTTTTTTGTTAAACTAATATAATTATTCAAAGAAAATTGAAATTAAATATCTAAGTACCAATATTGAAATAAATGAAACTTATGATATATTACAATTTTGTTGTATTTATTTTTATTTTGGGAACAATATTATTGAGCAATTATAATTATTATGCCATAGTTAATTGGATTGTTTTTAAATACCTACTTATACACTATCTTTAAAAGAATGCAAAGGAAGTAATGTGTTTTAAATAGGCACTGAATTCTGACTTTATTTATTTTAGTACATTATGTTAATACAATAATGACTATATATATATATATATGTTCAAAATAAACAGTCAACTCGAGGGAGTTCTGAATCAAATAGTTCTAAGTTTACAAGAAAAAATGTTTAGGTGACAATACAATTTTTTATTTTCAAGTGTTTACAATTTTGCAAATACATATTTCATTTTAACTTATTCTATGCAGATAATATGAATTCAATTTTAACTATTTTAATACAACAATTTAAAAAACTTAAAATTTAGGTTGGTGTTGTAAACTGTCAATATCAAAAATAAAAACAACACAACATTTTATAACACAACTTATTTATTTTGTAAATGGGTCAACTACACAATTTCAGGAATATTATTTAGTATGACAATGTAATATTATGAAAAAACAAAAATGTTAGAGAGTTCTCCTTTGAGCTTAGTATAAACAAATCACTTTAAATAATATATATTCTATTACAAATAAATACTGCATTTCTAAAACATTTTTACCTTTTACAAATTACAAATACATTACTATACAATTTATTTTAACAAAGAACAAAATATACAGCTTATTACAATATATTTATCTTATCTATGTATCTATTTAACTTGGTATTTCCTAAAAAAATGTACTGCAAATGTTAAGTAATTGCCTCAAAAACAGCTATAATATTTTGTACAAAGGCCGGACAAATAAAGTTTAAATAGATGTTAAAAAATAACAAAGTTATAAAATGATATATTGTCTAGTAGCAACATAGATCAAGTCATTATTATAAAATTTATATTTCTAGATTAAATGAAGTGATAACAGATGAAAAATTTAATTTAAAATATTAAAAAAAAAATAATACATTTCTCTTATTTTAATGATATGATCATAATAATAAACATTAGATATGCTTTTCTTTTGTGGATTAATTAGGATCAAAAGATGCAGAGCATTATACTATGTTTCTCTTGTTTCAGCAAATTTTGAATAATTAAAACTAATACTTAAAGCAATTAAGCAACAAAAACCATACAAATAGTATGATAAATTTTAGAAATAAACATTTATTTTCTTATACTAATTACATTCTTGACCCAAATATATGCACTTATAACACTGATATAGACACAGTCATTAAGTCTCTAAATATGCTATAACTTAGAAAATTATTAAAATCATGCACCTGGTTTTGTTTTACTTAATACGGACAAATGAGTGGTAAACTATAAACATATTTATATATTTTAGAGGGTTTTTTTTTCCATTTAAAAAATTATATTATGTATACATAATACAAATATGAGTAATATACTCAATACTTTAGTAATTTTAATTGGTACCTATGTTAAAACCAAGATTTTTACTAAAATTCTAGATTATTTCTAGAATAGAAATTAATTGTTCAAGATTATTAATTTATAAGTCTTCGTTAAAGTATTGTTTCAAATTGTTTCAAGATTTATTCATTTATAATACAATAATAGTAAAATAATTTTTAAATAATAATGAGAGGCAATAATCTTATATTTTATCTTTTTAATCAATGTCTATGCCTCTACGGCTAATTTGGCATTCAATTTTTGTACAATTAACTTTAAAGTTATCAAATAATTAAATAAAACTTAAATCATTTTTATATAAAAAATAATAATAAATAAATAGGAACTAGAATTGATCATTCTATTTTTATTTAAAAAAAAAAAATTATTGTATTTATTCAACAATTGACATTTAAGGTTTTTAGAAAAATTATACATAGTTAATAGAAATAAATGTTAATACGGAATCCAAGAGAGAACAATATTTTTGTTATAACTGATATAATATAAGTATTGATAGTAAAAATTATTTATATTTAATGAAAAAAAAGTAACAAATTGTTTAATTTATAGATAGATCATGGTTTTGGGTATGATACAGATGACAGTGAAAGATCATTTAAATTTGAACATAATAATAACTATGGTAGGTATTCAAATATCAATCCAGAATGGAGCTCATAATATTTTTTGTTCAAAATAATTATTGTCTCTAATAAAAAGTAAAAAATGTAAATTAAATAGTTATCTGCTGCATTCTTTTAGAATTTAAATTAAATTATACACAAATTATGAAAAATTATATTATTTCAAAATTAAAAATTTATGTGTGATTAAAAATATTCACAGGATTGTTAATGATTATTGATGTTATATCAGTTAAATTTTTTTAACAAATCTGTATTTTGAAGAAATAAACTATAAAATTATTAAAATTATTATGACTATTTGGTGTAGTTAAAAACTAGTCATTAAAATAAAGTATAAGATATTTAAACCATTGGTATACGTATAATATTTTATCATTATGGTTGTCATTAATTTGGACGTTGCAAAAAGATCAATATTGTTTTCAATGAACAATTTCAATTGTAAATATGATAATTAATAATACAGTTATTCTATTCAATAGATTAATAAAATAATAAAGATGTAGATACAACATTCAAAAATAAAAAAAATAAAGTTATAGGTAATAAATAAGTTAACCATTCAACTAAAACAGCGCAGTTAAATATAGTTTCAGATAAAAATGACTAGATATTTACTAAACTCTATTTTAATAATAAATTATTAAATACCTTGTTATAACTTAAAAATTTGATCCTATTAAATTATTCATAATAATATTGTACTAAAGAAAGGTAAAGTATTACAAAAAAATTTACCAAAAATATAATAATTTTATAAAGCTGATCGATTATACAAATATAATGATAAGTAAGTACTGATTTTGATTGATTTATCACAGTACAGAAGTTGTATTATTTTGAAATTAAAAAAAAATATCTGACCAATCATTGTTTGATAAAAAAAAAAATTGAATGGCACAATTTCCTACAGTTTTAGGTTATCTGTAAAAACCTATTAATAGGATGCTACACCAACATTTGCTGTCTCTGTCAATCTAATGGCTAATATAGGAATACTAGTTTTCATACTTTTAATATTACTTGGGCACTGGTAGACTTAAATTAAAAATGCATTAATTATTTTTAAAAAATACTATAACATTAACTATAATTTCATAATTTCACAGAGGAATTTTTGAATATGACTCTTAAAAAATATATTTCGCATGATGGGTGGACCACTGTTATAGGTGAGAAGTTGTGAATATAGGATATAGAGGGCAATTTAATGTATATCTGTATGCAACAATAATCTCAAATATAAGTTTTCTGTTCAAATTTTTAAGTCTCTATAAACATTTTTAACTGAATTATTAAAAAAACTGCTTGGAAAATTAAAAAAGTTATGACCTGTTTAAAGTACGAACTAGATCAAATTTACAATCAGAAAAGGTGTTACACTTGAAAATCGGAGCAAAATTGCTAGTAAAAATTGTGTACACTGTATATATATAAAAATGTATTAATTGTAAAACAAAAACAATCTTCACTTCGCTCAGAATCTAAAAATCTGTTTCTATTTCAATGTTTTAAAAAAAATTGTATTAGTGAAAAAATCCTCTCTGAAAATATGTTCTCTTTAATTTGATATAATAATTTTTGTTTTAAGTTAAATTATTAGAGTCAAAGTACTGTTGTAAGTATAAAAACATTTTGCTTCTATACTGCCAATTGATAGACAAATGGTAAATACCTGTGTAGGGTCCTTTTAAATATTAGCTAAAAATACCTTCTCATGTTAAGGTTCATTTTCCTTTCAGTTCAACGATACAGGGTTCGAATCGTATGGGGCCATTTCAATACTTAAAGAAGTGGTTGCAAGAGAGCCCAAATTTATTATTATAATATAATTATTAGTTCCCTTACTAATGCTCATGATAAAAACAGTTATGTAAATTTATCCAAATTTACAAGCAATTATATTAAAATTATAATTTTAAGAAGTCTTTTTACTTCCTCTTGGTTTGATACTTTCACTTATTTGCCACATGGCTTCTTCGCATAGAAATTCATCAAAATTATTGAAGAATGCAATGATATGATCATGCTTTTTGAAATTGTAGCATCTATAAACATGTTTTTAGAATAAATCATTTAAACACAATAACACAATTAAAAATACTTACCCCTTTTTAAATCTTTTCATATTTTCAACAATATTAAATTGTTGCCATCTTTTAGAAAAATTGATTATATTATCAGATATATAATCGTTGTTGCCAATGTGTACAAATGTTAAATCTTGTAAAACTAGTCCTCTGAAATAAAATAGAAATAAATTTAAATTATAAATTATTTGGTGTAATCACCAATGAGTAGGTTAAGTTAAAAATATAGATTTTAATAAAAAAAAATTAGTTTTTTTTCTTAAGCCGGGTCTAAAATATTGCTATTCAAATCACAATATTTAATTCATAAATCAAAAAAAAAAAGATAATAGAACTACAAATGTTATCCTCATTTTAAGTTTAAATATATTATTATAAACTTTAAACATTTAGAAAGAATTAAAATTTTCATAATAAATAATGTTTGCTCTTATAACAAAACACTATTAAACACTATTATTTAGCACTATATGAATACATTGATGAATACTTTTTTATTACAAATGATTAAAAATATATTACTTTTTGGTAAAATAATGATGTATAGTAAATATTCAACTATTGTCTATTAAATATTGTCATTTAAATTTTAAATGATTCTATAATTATAGAGATCAAAATTATTTAAAATATTCACAGTTATATATGAACAACTATTTCATGGTTAAAATTTTTTTTAAATGTTATTAAAAATAAATGATAAACATTAATTACGTAATTTTCTATAAAAACCACCAAATTTAATTTCTCTTCGAATAATACTATAATACAATTTCAATTTTGATTCTATGTAATACAATAGTGTAAAAAATTAGTTAAGTAAATAGATTTTCATTTTTAAAGTTAATGAAATCAATTATTACCAATTTTTTTTTTTAAAATGGAGAAAATATGAGGTATATATGAAAATTAGAAAAATGTTCTTACATATAAGGGATGCAAGGAGGATTGGTTTCAGCTAAAGCTTGTCTATAAGCTCTAAAACTTGAAGAGCTATCAATTAGAGCACAATATTCTTTTAAGCATTCAGTAATGGATTTCTGCCATTCCAGACGTCTAATAGGTGCACTATCTAAAGCAGATAATAATGCTAAATACGAATTAAAATTATTCATTTTTCGTAAGCTTTTCATTATTTTGATAAATTTTAACACATAACGTTCACGATCTTTAGCTTCATTTTGTTCTAAAATCCGTGATCTTGCCCTAAAAAGTACAATTATATTATACAATAAATCATATTACTTTTATTAATTTTTTAATAATACAAACCAGTATGACATTTTATTAAAATGTTCTGTAAATTCAGTGAGATTTGGACTACGCTCTTCGTTTTGCTCCTTAACCCATATCAAAACTTCGGGTATTTCAATTTTCATAAATAATTCTGAATCCAACATAGTCATTTGTTCAGCAATTAGTTCCGACTTATAGTTTAATAAATTAGCTTGACGAGTATATATATTTTGAGATGGTAAAAGAGCATTAATTGAAGTAGTGTGCATTAATTTTGCTTCGTATCTTTCTAAAAGCTTTACCCTGAGAGCTTTTGCCATAGTCAAATCACCAGCACACAATAATTGGTACACAAATTCCATTAAAATTTGAAGTACTTTATTATCTAAGTCTGTTAAACTGTAATCAATAAATAGCATATTAAAAAATATACTTCATATTTTTTTTAAAATTTGTCCAATACAACTTACGTTAAATCACTAACTACTCTAACTAATAATGAAAACGATTCTCGACTTGCTCTTTGTCTATTTAAATCACCAGAGTTTTGAAATCTTTGATGTCGCATACACAGTTTTTGTATTAAGTCTAAAGGTGATATAAATGTTCTATAGGTCGTTAAAAAGGCTTCTTGATACATAAAATCTAAAATTAAAATAATGATTAAAATGTATGAGGTATATTTATATTATATAATACACCCAAATTAAAATTTATACCATTTTTAACAGCATTAGTAGCATGAACAACAAGAGCATCTGCATGTCCACCACGAACAAGAGGCCCTTCTTCTTCTGGTTTTTTAAATACCAACCATTGAGAGACATTTAATTCTTCCATTATGTTAACTTCACTAATATTGGTATGTGAAGGTTCCGTAATATTTGATAAAACATCCCTATACAACATAAGTCATATTTAATAAATCAAACATTGATTTTAACTTCAAAACTAAATACTATATATATATATAAATTTATTATTATTAATATGCGCAGTTTATAAATACTATATGTATATATAAATTTTATTTTAATTTTTACTTAACAAGCTAATTTATCTTCTTTTTAAGAAAATGTATACATTTTTCATAATTTGTTTTACATTTAAGATACACACAGTTCTAAAATGTTAAGCTGTCTTTTCTTTTTCTTTTTTATACTTAATTTTAGTAGTAAAATCACTAATAACTTTTAAATTTAAAATGGCAACCTAAGTAAAATAATCCATAAAAATTTAAAATTTTAGTTTTTAAAATTTTAATTTTCGTCTGATCATTAAGGTTGATAAATTGATTGGTAGGGAGAGAGTAGTGATACCTTCATCTTTTATGTAATGTTAGTATCTGGATACTGATTATCTCTACTACTCTCTCTATACCAACAAAATTACCAAATTTAGAATGAAATATCTTGCAAACTGATGGAAATTAAAACTATTTACACTAAAACTTCATAATTTCAAGGAATTATAATACAGGCTGTCATTAGAAAATTAAAAGTTGGTAGTGGTTTCACTGCCAAAAAAGTGTAAGGTAACATTTTAGAAATATGTTTATCCTAAAATGTTATAATAGAAAAACATTTTTTTTTAGTTCCTTTCATACATTAGCTTGTGTGGTAAAAGCTCTTTGTAGTACACTCTTTCATTTTATTTTTATTTATTTCATATTTCATTAAAGCTTCAATGTATGTTATCATTTCTCATATTCTTATTCAATTTCAATACTATCATGATAAATGTGAGCAATTATTATTGTTAACATTTTTCATTATTAATTACTTTTTAGTTTATATTATAAAACCTGAGGAGAATTGGCAATGGATAGAGGGAAGTTGCAGAAAATTTTTTTGACATTAAGACTTTAAAGGTTGTATACTAAAGAAGAAGAAAATAAGTGCATGATATTTAAAAATGTCATGATTAGATAATTTTTAATCATATATAGTGTAAATAATTTTTCCATCATAAATGATAAGTTGATTGGACTAAGGGGATATGGGTCAAAAATTTATTACAAGTTTTAGATTTTTTTTTTCTTGTGAATAAATTAATGGAAAGCATGACAATAAAAATTGTACACTTTTTGATGCAAGTATTCTTATGGAATATTGATCACTTAGGCTTGAAACTTGTTGCACTTAAATGACCATGAAAGGAAAGAAATTAATATTTTTTCTTATGTTTAAAAAAATAGTACTCTATGTTAAAAAAATAATAGATCAAACTGAAAATGTTTACGATGTTTTGTTGGCGAAATACCGGCATTTGAAGTTGACACATGACAACATAGAATCTATTCTCGTGATGTTTATACATGTAAATATTATATCTTCAACTTTATTTAGCCATTATTATGAGCGTAATATTTAATATATAATATATACCGGGTTGGGTCTTAGAGATATTTTTAAAGTTCATAATTTTCTATTTAACTTAATGTCATAATAATATATCTTATAATAATAACAATTATAGTGGCATAGTCACAACGATACAGTTAATATAAATGGCACAATATATAGGCAGTCACGCGCTAACTTTAAATGACTGTAACTTGCTAACGAAAAGTCGTAGACAAGTTTAGTTTGGACTTCTGGTTTTCTATAATTAAGAATTTTTTTTTTTTTTAAGAATTTGTTGTTTTATTTCCTTTCGTGGTCTTTTAAAATTCCAAAAAAAAAAATATCATTTAAAAACATCAAAGACATTAAAAATACAGTGAAACCTCGATAAGTTGAAAAAATTGTATTTCTCTTACCATGAATTTTAACTTATCGAGGTCCTACTGTATTTAAAAAAGCAAAAACGGTAGTAGGGTTTAAATATCTATCCTCTAACAGCTCTAATTTATTAAATACAATGCTACACTAAATATTAACTCAGTTATATGCATAGGATTATATTTAAACAAAATTAATTTTTGTTAATCCTTAGTGTTGTGTTAAGAAATTGTACTTAATTTAAATTCTACCATTTGTTCTTATATTCATTTGAAGTGGTTTTTTGATGTTTCTAAGAGTTTTTTTGTGAAAGAAGTGCCGAGCACTATTTACCACCCTTTATTATTGTTAAAAATCATTGCGATATCCTTCTAATATGTAATCACTGTATAGTTTTACTTAAATAAATAATACGGATCACGAAGCACTATGTTTGTCTGCTAAATGGTCCTCAATAAGTCTGCAGCCATTTTAAATATATAAATAAAGCATATCAACTTTTGTAAGCACTTACTGAATTTCTAGGCACTGAGCTTCAATTGGAGTTGAACTAACATCTGTAATATATACTTTATTTGGAGAATTAGGCTGTGTTATTTCTTTATAAGGAGATGCCATTATTTTACCTCGTTTAGGTGGTAATGCTGGTGGACCAGACTCACTGAAATTATGAAAAATTTGTTAAAATTAATACTTTAATACATTTTCAGTATTAATAATTAAATATTTACTCAGCAAAATAATATTGTTGACAAGAATTTTCAACGCTGTAATTTTGGATTTCGCTTTGATATTTTTGAGGTGAATGCCAATTACTTTGATGAAGCATTGTGTATGTATGAACAGAATGACGCAAAAATTCTGTAGTATTTCCATGTGAACAATTACCAAACATTTCCATGTACGCCATTACTGCAATGATAATTTAATAAAATTGTATAAGTCAATTAGATAAGTATAAAATGCTAAATACACTAATATTACTTTCAAATTTTTCTTCAAACTAAACTATAACTCACATGCACAAAAAAAACCTATATATATATATAAAAACATATATACTAGAATATCTTACCAGAATAGGCCACTGAATGAAACACTAAAGAAAAATAAATTATTTAGTCATAGTTATTCATAATTTTATTTGATAATTATTATCATCTTGAATCCAATTTATTATTGTTATTATTAGATTATACATATTTTTTGTTGGCAAGTTAAAAATTATATAGGCATTAATTACTATATCAAATATATTAATTATTTTTAACCTTCTTTTACACATTATGTTGATTTTTATAGGCTATAATTCAAAAAATATCCAAGGAATTATTACAGAATATATTCAAGCAATTTAAAATACATTTCTTAGTAATTTGTGTACTCATGAAATTACATTACTACTAGAATTTATGATTATAAATTAGTGAATTCAAAAAAATATAAACAAATCGTAGAGATAAATACTAATTTTGAGATGCTAAATTAAAAACAGAATTGTTTTACAAAGCAAAAATTTTTTAATATGACGAAAATTTAGAGAAGTTGATTAAACATTTTGAAAAACTAATGAGCATGTTGATTCTTAATCTTAGAATAAAAGAAATCTAATTTAAATATAACTTACTATGTTTTTTTTTCAATGGTAATGGTGGTGGATTTGAAGAATCAGCTGCAGGATTATCAAGTGATGCAGTGTGTGTTAAAGAAGCCTGAATACTGCAGTGGCTGTTGTTTCTATGGAAGTTATATTGTGTTGCCATTTCATCCATAGATAAATTGTCATAAGTTGATCTCAACCTTTGTCTAATTATTCGTTTTTTTTCAGGTACTGGTGGTGGAATCTAAGAAAATTAAAATTTGTAATGATTTAAATATAAACACTAATTTTATATTAAGTATAAAAAACAATTACTTCATCATTTGATGTTGAACAATTAATTTCATTTGTTATAAAAGTTCTATTAGAAATTTTATCCAAAGTAATTTGTTGCATAGTAGAAATAGTGTTTTTGGAATGTGTCCAAACTTGATTAGAAGCTTGATGAATAAATGCAGTTTTCTTTTCTACCATTGCTAATTTAACAGTAGTATATGGTTTTCTTTTAGATATGTACAATTGTATTTAAAGTAAAATTAAGTAAACTTTCTTTTTGTAATAACTAATAACTTTACATCATTAAACTCTTCAAAAACTAAGTATTATAATTATTTAGTTGAACATTACCAATTCAAATTTAATAAAAATACTTACCATGTTGTGGTGGATATTCAGAAAATGGTGATATTCGTTTTTCATTGCCTTGGTCTACAGAAGCTGAACTAGAAGAACAATTACAATATCCACATAAATGATTAACATCATCTGAAAATCAAACACAAATTTAATATTTTTATTCACTAAATTAATATTACTATTAGTTTACTAGTTAAAAATGAACTATCATCATTAGACATAACATTGTTAACTTCATCATCATTCAAAATTGAGTCTAGGGAACCAATCGATGAAGACCTATCAGAAAGACTTAATGGCTCCAACGATAAGTTACATAAAGTATGCTTGGTGTTATTGGGTCCAGTACGACGTTTAGGTGGCAAAGGAGGAGGAGAATTGCTTTGGTCAGCATTTTTTAACCACGTTCTAAATAGAAATTATTTACATAGTTTAATAATAATATATTGTACTTATTTTGGAAAGGTATTAATTTTACCGATCGGGTAAAGGAGGCTTTGATGGAGGTGTACTATCAACAGTATCAAATGAATGATTACAGGTTTGTTCTAATATTTCTCTTTCTCTTGGTGTTAATGGTATATCTGGTAAAGAAACTCTTTGTTTCAATTCATCAGGAAGTTTCAATGTATCTTCATCTTTGTATACAACTTTAAGTACACTATGGTTAAGTTTGTCATTAGTTAATTCTACCAAGTTCTATAATTTAAAAAAAACATTTTTAGTTTCTAATACGTATTAACATTTAAAAACAATAAAATAGGTGATAATGTGCATTAATATGATACCTGAATAGCTAGTTCAACCAAACGTAATATGTTTGACACATTATCAGTTTCGATTGCTTTTTCTCCATTTATGAGCACATCATCACATAGTTTAATAAGTTTAGCTACACTTTGATAAACTTGATTCAAAGCAGATACAACCAGTGAACTTCGCTCATTAATATCGTATGATTTGATCACTCCACAAATTGTTGTCACAGTTTCTAAAACAACTGTACCATTTCCCGATAACATTTCTAATTTATTTTTTGTTACTACATCAAGAAAATGTTTTAAGGCTATCTGAATCTGAAAAATATTAAATAGTTTAACTTATTGAAGTACGAATAAATTCTAAAATACAATTTAATTTTAAAACTTACTTGTCGAACATGAAAATCAATGTCATTGAGGGATCGTTTAGGACTACTTCCTGACGAAGCATGTCTTTGCTTTGGCAAACCATTTTTCGGCGAACCACTTCTGGAACTGATTGCATTACTATGACTAGGTGATCGCATTGCTGATATAATTTCCATAAGCTCTTCTTTGAGTGAACGAGCTCGTCTTGTAAATGTATTACCACTACCAATATTATTATTCCACTTTCTGAACTTTTCATCAGGGACAACTCCTTTCAGATATTATAACGACAATTAATTAGACAAATATTTAAAAAAAAAAAATTAGTAGTAAAACTAGTAGGTAACCTCGTGAGCCACGACATATGTTAATATTTTACACTTTTATTTATAAACCAATGAAGATTGAAGAAAAATATACAGATAAAGAATCTAAAAATAGTGCATCTAAATAAGTGGGGAACACGTTAGATTAACGTCTGAGTCAGTCATGTGACACTATCTACATAGTACATTGTACACTACAAATTCCTCAAGCCTACAAAAACGAACGCATTGCATTTCATTCTTAATGAATGAATAATATATTATGGTACGTTAATGGAATTGTTAAAATAACAGGTTGTAACTATTTTATTATTACGTCACGTTCACTATGGTATCAATGATCAAGGTTATTGTCCATACTTAGTCATCAGTTTTGATTCAATACAGGAAATACTATATTACACAACATTTATCTACTTATCAAATGAATAACAAAATAAGTATAGGTAATGTTTTATAAAAATACAAAACAAAATATAAAAGTATTTTTTTGGAGTTATTAAAAATGTATTTATTGGTAATTTGAATGTCATATCTAATATACACCAAATAGGTATGTACCTATACTTGACTATGCTAATACCTACCTAACCAACCTACTGGTAGTTATGCATATTTCTTTTTTAAATACTTATTTTTACAATAACAGCAAAAAGTAAAAATTAATAATTTTTTTTTAAATATTACCAAAATAAATACGTATTATATAAAATTACAAATATAAACATTTAAATTAGTTAACTTATACATATTAAATTTTAAATAGACTGAGAAAATTATAAAATATATAATTATGTTTGAATATTATAATATGTGTGCTAGATATATTAATATTTTTGTGGCCGTTAGTATGCATTCAATTTGTTGGGAAAGCAATAAGTATATCCATAAATGCAAAATCTAATACATGGTTTTTAAGAGGTAGGTAATTTGTTTTAATGTCTTAATAGTTCAAAAAATACTTTTGATAAACTTTAAGAACAGCAACACGAAACTAGTATTAAAAAGTATTTAAATATTTTATAAGTGTTAATATATTGCTCCAGGTATTTGAATTTTCATTTAGTAGACTTGTATTTTAATGAGTATATTTTTCATTTGAACTGTTTTGATTAACTTAATTGTAATGATATTTTTTTATTAAAAACATAAAAATATTAAATTTAATGATCAAGTAAGTACTTAAACTAAAAATTATAATTTAATATTTATTATTCATTTTTAGGAAAAATACTTGAAATAATCATTAGTTTTTGAGTATTTTGATTAAATTTTAAGTATACATTTTATATTTAATTATAATCATATTGTTATACAAAATGTATAGGTAATAAATTCAATTTTTATAATTGGATAATTGTTTTATTTGTATAAGTCATGTTTTATAAAAAGGACAGACATACTTTGCATGTGGTCGCAGTCACTGTTGTAGGCGAGAAGTTGGGAAGGTAGAATATCAATGTATTTTTTTTTTTATTAAAATATATTTAAATCTATACATAATAATTAATTTTTGCTAATAAAAAATGATTCTTAGTAGAGTTCGAATATACATATTTTGAAAGGCCGTAATATTTAAGATTTTTGTCAAAATTTGATATCAAAATTCTTTAGTTACAAATCTTTAGTACAATCAATAGTGTCCTGTGGTTTTGTATTTTAGGGTAACGTTTTTGATACTCATAATAAAAAAAATTACATATAACATTAAATTCTCTTGTGAAATATATATTCAATAAGCTGAATCTCATCCCAACAACTTTTTATATAATGATTGTAAAATTTTAAATATTAAGTATCTTTATATAATGTATGTTTTGCAGTTGTGTTTTACATTAATACAATTAATTCTACTCATAATTATAACACACAATTTGTTAAAGATATTAATATTACATTAACTAAATTGAGAAATGTTTTTTATCAATCTGGACCTTATTTTGTATTAAACATAAAATATGTATTCATGATTACATTGATTTTAAGCAAGTTAAAAGAAAACTCATATCTTTGGATTTAAATAACATTTTAGTATTATTAATATGTATTTGTGATAATTTATTGTGATGAATATTGATTAACTACTATTTATAATTTATTCATGATATTAAAAATTTTAAATTAATTATTATATTTTTTCCTTGTTATATTTATTTAATATTGTACTTGTATGAACTCTCACTTTGGCTTTGAAGGTAATCCTACAGAAATTGTTTATTATAATACTCTTTGTAAATATTGCTTATTGAAGAATTAGTAAATTTGTATTATTATTATTATTACTAATTTTCTTGAAATTAAAACTAAAACTTAATAACAAGGTATAGTAATAATACTATCATATCATCTTAATTATATGGTATTAACATGCATTAACAAAAAATAATAATAATATAAAATAAAATAAATAAAAATAATATTTTAAACATGTAAACATTAACAATGATAGCAAAGACTCTTAAACATTAGGTGAAGATGGTGAAGTTAAACTCGAAATTATTGCTTGTATAATGTTTATAAGCCTTCTCAGAGCATCTAGGCCCCCTTTATGTAGCTGTTCGGTACCACTAATAAATTTTGATGTTGGGCACTCGTCAATTATATATTGAATCGACTGTACTTCACCACAGGTACATAGAGGGATTTAGTCATACTCCATTTATGCAGTAAACTTATTGCATATACCTTGACCCGTTCTTATTCTTAAATTCAAATCCTGGTATCCCTTACCCCGGAGTTGTGATGAGGGTTGAGTTATGACACTTTCAAGTTTAGCCATCTTTTCCTCCACACAGATTACTGTTTATGAGTTATAACTGTTTAAAGTTTAGATTAAAGGAGTAGGATATAGTGCAATCATGTAATTTATTACCCTTACCTATTCCTCCAATTTAAAATTTAAATGGTTACATAATTCATATACGGTAAATTTAATATTAGTGCATATATTTGTAAATTATTACACATATCAAAAATATTTAGAAAAATATTCTCTTAAATATATAAAAAATAAAAATACATTCACTGTAAAATTAATACATTCCTTACTTAGCTCATAATCTAAAATGTACAATTTTACTTAAAGAAAAAAAGATAAATGTGCATTATTTTTTTTTACAATACTGGAAAATTTATAATCAAAGATTAAAATTGTAATTCGAAAATATTTATACCTTATTTTATCTCTATAAATATCTAAAAAAGTATCCATATGATAAGATGTTCCCAAAAATTTTACAAAAAAACTAATCTATCGATTTTTGATTGAAGCTTTGGCTCAAGTTTTCTGGTGAAAAATATATTATTATCATCATCATACTCTAAAGGCAGAGCAGTGTCAGTATAACCAAGTTTGTCTATTGAAACATAGAGTACTCTATGTATTTAAAGTTGCTTTCTTTATTTGGTGATATGAAGTAAACCCCATAAGCTGGATAACATCAATAAAATATGATATCCTGGTTCTGCTTTTTGGTTGGTTTTCAAGAATTTTGTCTTCAAAGATGTTATTGAGAAATTGACTCATGACTGTGTTGCAAGTAGGTCTCTAACCTGATTATTTGTATATTAATAGTGTAGATAATTTGGGGTACTTCCTACTTCTTCTAATGTAGTTTGGTTTGTCTTTTTTTTTTTTTATATAATTAATACCCGTCATCCTCTTCCACAGCCATATCTTTGTCGCTTCCAGTCTGATCATATTTTTCAACTATGAAGAATTATGTTTTAATTTCTTCATTAATGTTATTACTTAGGTGAGTGATTGTTAATTAATAAGGCTTATTTATTTTCAAATGCTTATTTACTAAGAGTGATTTTCTTACTAATTTCTTTGGTTGATCTGTTGTCTTTGAAAATTAAACTTCCCAAGTAAAAGAATTCATTCACTTGATTTATAGATTCATTATTGACTTTCATGTTTGCATACATGTATTCATTGTGTTTATGATAGCCCTATGGCTATCCATATTTTGTTTTCATGATTTTCAAACTGAATTATTTAAGATTTCATTTAAATATTTTAGCATATAATTGAGATCTGCTGTGTCTGCTACTAAGGTGATGTTATATGCAAATCAATAAAAAAACGATCTGCAAATTGAATAGAATGAACTTAGTTATCGTTGATTGAAATCTCCACTGTATTTTCCTGCATTCTATTCAAGGCTGACTAAATGAAAAGATGAAATAAATTAGGCAACTATACTTAACTTCAAAAAATTTAGAAAATTAAAAATGTATTATTAGTAAATATTTATAGTAATATGAACATTATGTTATAAAATATTTATCTTCGATTTTGTGAAAATGTACTAAATATACAAAAGTTGTCTTATCAAAATTAATTCTTCTCTCCGATACCTGTCTTAGAGACAAAACCTCTTTTCTTTTGACTTCCATTTCTAAAACCAAACTGATATCCATCCAATTTTAATTATATTTTATTATTTAGTTTATTTTTAATAATATTTAACAGTTTTTTGGATGGATAAGATAAAATTGCAATATAGTTTTCACAATCTATTAAATTTTCTTTTTTTGGTAGAGTTATGAAATCTGAAGGTATTAGACCATAATTGCAGTAGTTAGTTATAATATTGATTAGGGATCTTCTTGTTTTTTACAATTTTTGTTAAATCTGTTCATCCACTCCTGTTGCCATTTTATCACTCAGTCCCCTCATTGTTCATTAGAATTTTTCTTCAGTGATGAGAGGTCCTTTAATTTATTGGTTATTATCCTCTTGATTTAAAATATAAGCTTTGTCTTATAAAATATGATTATTATTATTTCGCTCTTTAATTGATTCTACTATTTCAGAAGACATCTATAGTTTTCTGGGTTGCAGGTTGTTTTTCAAAATATTTTGTCTGCTGTAAAGTTGTTAACAGACAAATAAAAAAAAATGTTCAGAAACTAAGAGCATTTCATCATTGATGATTTTCATTTTGATTAGAATATAAAAGGGATATGGATGGTTATCATAGAATCATTTCATTTTGAGGATTTTTTTTAATTATGTAAAATATGTAGAAATTATAATTCCTCATAAAACATTCAATATATAAACATACTTATAATCTTTATTCTTATTCTCTTTATGTACTAATTTTTATCGCTTATAAATATTATCAAACTTTGTACTATAGCACGATTATACATGTAAATGTATATATTATTTGTAATTACCGCCATGCGCTAATATGTAAAATAGATAAATATTCTTCATAAAACACAATTTTTAATTTTTGATTTATATTATTAATTGTATAATTTTTAATATATCTCAGTATAATTTAAAGCCTGATAATTGATGAAAATTGATATTAAAATAATTGAAAATGTGTGATGCTATTTTTTTTTTTTTATATAGGTATTATTTAAAAAAAATTAAAACAAAAATTTTATCTAGCTCTCTATCTCTGGGTTTTAATTTAATTTATTAGCTGTTCTTATAAATTTATTTACAAATAATATTAATTTTATACACAAATATTAATTTTAAGTGGTAAAATTACTGAATCTAATGAATAGCCCCATATATCCATACATTAACACCAAAAATATTTTTAAAAAAATTGTTTTAAAATTGTTAAATAACTTATTAGGTATTACACTTGATATATACTGTTTATGTGTACTTTGGATAAAATAAATTACATCAAAATTATTGTAGCATTCTTCTGCTTCTTTAACACTGATTGAATGAATGGGTTTGAAAACAATTAAAATAATGAGGTACCTACTTTATCTCTTCTTTATAGTATCATTAAATTATCAGCCATTATAACACAATATTATATATATATATATATATGCATACATACATTATCAAATAATAATACAAATTTAGCAGATTTATTTGTTTATTTATTATGACTTAATTTATTACTTTTTATTATGATAGTTTATTTATTCATATTTCAAAAAAAAAAAAAATTAATACCTATAAAATAATATTTTATTTTAAATTATTAACTAAAGGTAATGATTCAAAAATATATTTACTATTTACATAACAAACATAAATATATAATTAATCACTTATATTTAATGAGTTGTATCAATTTTGTATTGTGGAAAACATAATATGCATAAAACAACAGTCTACAATGTTTAGTATTTGATTATTAAATATACTAATACTTACTACATTGCTCAGTTTCATCATCTTTTTCAGAATCGTGTTTGTTTGTTGAAGACATGTTGTTAACAACCAATTATTTAACGAAACAAACCAAAACTGAATGCAATGCATTGTTGATCATGTTATTTGTCGTTTGAATGCAACATGATCAACTGGATAACTGTTGACCATTTATAATTATATGTATTCTAATGTGTTATAATATTGTAATTAACTACATTGTAGTTTGAATAAGTAAAACTATTGCACTGACCATGGTTGATTATGCATAAGCAGTGGATGATGATTATTTACTTGATTTAATCTAATACAAAAGTTACATTGTGCCATTGTTACTTAGTACCTTTAAGTAGATATTCATTACTTAAATACTATTTTAAAACACACATAGTATTATAAGATAGATTCTTAATTCTCTAAACAATTATTATTTATGAATTATGAAAAGTTGTAAAATTACTAGACGTTCAAAAACTTTTTATCACACTATTATCATATATATATATATTTATATATATTTGATACCATGGTGGTACTTTTACAAAATGTTTAATGTTTACTATTATTTTGTTATCATTATGTTGTTTACTTGTTAGTTTATTTTTTTTTCAATTTGAATTAATTGATAGTAGTTTATAGTTGAAATTAAGTATCTATATTAAATTATTATAAATGCTTTTTTTGAAATATCCTCTTTAATTTTATTATTTAAATACATACATATTGATTTCGAATTGAAGTGATTTTATATCTTCAGGTAAAACATTTTTAGAACTAACTACTTATTATTATTTTGTTGTTGTTATGTGATATTTTTATAATTGACACATTTGCTTTAATCTATTAAATGGAATAGTTTTAAAAACTGATTTTAAACAACATAAACTATTCATACTAATTAAATAGTTTTATTTTGCTAACTGTAAAATTAAAATATAAAAAAATTAAAAATCAAAATCAAAAAAATTATATATTTGTTTATAAAATTAATAAAACTATTAAAATAAAAGTAGGTAGATGTTATTTGTTTTTTAATTCAACCAAATTTTCATTAAATATTGTGGTCATTATTATCATAATTTAAGTACCTACTAAACAATTGGTTTTTATTGTTTACATTCGTGTTCTAATACATATTATATAGATAGGCAGTGATTAGTGAAAATAATTTAAAAAATAGACTGAAATGTGTATCCTAGAAGTTTGATCAGCAAACAGATTTTGACTGTAATATTTTATTGATTGTATTGTAGACTACAGTGCAATAGTATTCTCATTTCAATTAAATATATGTGTGACAAAATTATTAAATATTTATACATGGTTCAAAAAGTTAAAACTAATTTATTCTTTTGATTTTTAAATAGCAACTTTTATTTAACATTCTATGTTTAAATACATTTTTATATTGAAATATTTGATTTACATCAACCCATTGATGATATTCCACTTTTAAATTTGAGTTTTGAGAGAGTAGTGGAACACTATTCAAATGTCATATAGTCACACAAATGATGCTCCACTACTCTCCTTACATTCAAATTTATAATTGGAATATCATAAATGTATTAATGGAAATCATCAATTTCAACACCAAATATAGATTGCCATTTAAAAACTAAAAGTACAATGTTGTTGTTTCACTATCAAACATAAGGGTGATAAAAAATAATGATTAAGTAATATTTTAGAGCTGGTTTCTTTAATAGTAAAAAAAAAAAAAAAACAAAAAATTGTGTACAAAATCAATATTTTTTGAAATAATGATCATTCAACAATAAAATAATTAACCTTTATAAAAAATTGATTTTAATTAATTTTACCTATAAAAGCTGTGAATATGTTTTTAGGTTGAATAATTGATTTAAAAAATGTAAATAATTAAAATTAATTGAAAATGAATACTGATGATACCTATTTACAATTTTAAAAGTTGTTTATTTTTAATTTATCAAGAAAGTCATTATTTTTAAGGTGATAAAACTAAGTATTTATATTTTATGTTGTAATATTCAAAGATTTTTTCTCGTTTAAAATATGTATTTTAAAGTCAAATATTTCAACTTGATATTAAAATTGGTTTTGGAAGTGTATAAACTATGAATCTAAGTCAGCTTTGGTCCCCCCGAAAAAAACGTATATGGACAATCGGCCCCCGACGTAATTTTATACACGCGTAATAAAATTGGTCCTGGGAATATTTTCCCTGCGACATTAAACATTTTTGCATTATGTTATTACGTTCGATAAATGTATAATATAAATATAATTTAAATAATAATACGGGAAAAAATAATTATTGTTTAATATTGAAATTACACAAATAATTTTAAAGTTCATCATTTGAAAAATTAATATCAAAAGTAGGTATAACAAATCAATAAAAACAATTTTCTTTTTTCATTTATAGGTTTTATAAAATTATTTTAAAATACATTTTCATTGTTTTAAGTAAAAGATATAATTTCTGTTGAATTAATTATTTGTATAGATTCAATAAACAGAAAAGTACTTGGATGTTTAATCTGGATAATATTTTACAATTTATTATTGAATCATTCTAAATTTTGATATGTTTTTAGTTATCCTTTTCAAAAATTGAAAAATATGAAAACAAAATTTCCCCGGATTCATTTGTCCGTGTATAAAATTATCACGGTGGTCGATTGTCCATATACGACGTTTCTTCTTGGGGATCAATTGACCGTTTCCCTTAAATTATCTATTGCCAAGTGGCTACACTGACTGAGAAAATGATATCCAGCATGTGATGTTTTAAAAACTCAGACAGTGAATGTATCTTTATCCAAAACCGGCATACGGATAACAATAAATTCAAATTATTATTTATAATAATTGTAATCATTATTATTTATATTGGAAAAATAGTTATTATTAACATCAATGTTTTCTGAGTTTCTGACAAAGTTTAATATTTCATTTAAAAATGTTAAATTATATACCTAATTTAGAAATATAAAACAATGTCAAAATTAGAGACTAGTGATTCTTCTAACTTGTCTTTGTATTATAAAGAGTTTGGTAAGTACTTATTATTCAAAATTATTTTGTAAGTTTATGTAATGTACTTAACTTAAGTATGCTGGATAAAAGAATCATTGTAAAGTTAAAATTAGGATCTAGATACTTGAAGATTACATATTTTGAGTAATAAATCTGCTTCTAAAATAGGTAGGTATATCAAAGTGTTAACATTAGTACTTATGATTTATTACTTAGTATATTATGATTATGTCATATTGATAGACATGATGCTTATTAATTTATTGTTATAACAATATTATGTACTGAAATTTAGTTAGTATCAAATTTACTGTTTACCTAAATAATATTTAAAATTTATTTTATGTTATAGTAAGAAAATATAAAACAATAATACTATTTATTTTCAAATAGGTAAAAATAGTGAAAAAAATAACCCTTCAGGTTGCCAACACTAGGTATCGTGACATGTGTAACATCATTAGACTGTCTGGAGAGTTTGTTTTAAATTATCATATCTGGATTTCTTTTTAACCTGTTTATGTTGTAATTTGGTTTGATTATAGTCTATAGGAATTAGAGCACATGGACCGTGCAGTTTGATTGTGATTGTTTAAAGTTTAAACTGTAACAATTCGGGCTCGTAAAATAATTTTGATAGGATAAAATCCGGTTCACAACTAAAGCTCTGTACAAACCAATCTGGCTAGTCTAATCTTCTAGTCTAAAAGGTGTTTAATTATTAATTAATTGGGTCGAGTCCTTTTATAATGTAAAGACACATTAAAAAATGATTTTCCAAAAATTCCACTTCCAGGGGGGGTTAAAAAAGGTAAAAATAGAAAGTGTATTTTCTTAACAAAACCACTGGATCTAGAGACTTGCAATTTTGGTGGTGTATATGCAACAGTGTATGGGTGAGTAAAGAAAGATTTTTACCTTATCCTATCCCATAAGGTTTAAAGAGCTTTTTGTTTTATCGATTATCAGAAATTCGAAAGTTATTTAATTTTTATTCATAATTTTATTAAAGTTGTCTATGATAATACCTCAATATCCCCCCCCTCTAAGGGAGTCAACAGACAATAATAATAATAGTTATCTTAAATGTTTTTTCCCCTTTAACCCAAAAGTACTACAGGATTGAGCTAAAATTTTGTATAGATGTAGTGCTACACCAGGAATGACCAAACTTTCCAACCCTCCCTAATCAGCACTTAAGGGTTGACTTGTCTATATAAGTCAACCCTTTATTTTTAAGGGATTTATTGGTATTTATGATATGAAATCAAACTATTTTTGTTGATTTATTGGTTACCATTGGCATACAAATGAAATAAACAAAAAAAAGTTATTATTAGTTGATTTAGTTGTCTCGGCAAAGAAGAACCCATAGAAAAATGTACATTTAACTATAATAAGTAGGAGACAGAAATGGGGAAATACATGGATATGTAAAGCTTTGTGAGACAAGAAAAATTATTTTTTGCAATGATTGGAATAAAGAATCTCATATTTTCCATTTAATATTGACATGGACAAAGCCATGCAGGACAGCTAGTGTAGTATAAAATGTATTCAATTATTAAACTAGAAACTTAAATTTTAGTAAATCAATTAATTATATATATTTTATAATGTTAATTAAATTTTAATTGAGATTTTAATTTATGTTTTAGGAAGGATGGATGAAAATCCAAATATTACAGCCCAAAATAAACTGTTTCAGGAGGTAAATTATTATATTTCTTAATAATTAATTTTAACTGTTTATGATATTGTTATATGATGGCAAACAAATGAATTTGCCTTAAATTAACCAATTGCATTTTCACAAGTTTCCAAAATATATTTTTTTAATTTCTTAAAATAGTCAGTGGAAAATAAATAACTGTTTAGGACTACTGATTGAAAACAAATATTGTAATTCAATTAATTTTTATTTATTAGCAGTAAATGATCTAAAAAATAGTACCTTTGCTTAATTCAGAATATAAAATAGTCGGTTTTAAATTAAACCATTAATCAAATAATAAATATAATTAAATTTACATAATAATTAATTCAATACACACACTTAATTTACAAATTAAAAAATAATTTAAGTGATTATTATTGAGCTATTTTATTTTATTTGACATTATTATTAATTTATTAAGTTGAATATTGCATACCTATTAATACCCAACATAACATACCTATATTTATTAATTTATAATAGGTTTCATTTTAGTTTGTTTTTTTTTAAACTTTAGTTTGGGTGGTTCATGACTACCTATTTTTATCTTCAGAAATTAATTGTATTATTATTTAAATATTTTTGATTCAAAATATTTAATAAAAAGGTGAAAATAAGTTTGAAATATTTATATGACGTTTAAAAAATGTTATTTTAACTACTATTGTATCATATACTAAGAAATAGATTATGATCTATGTATATGTATTGATAATATTAAGTTGATTTTTTTTGCTTTTCATTTAAGCTCAATGAGATGATGATGGAATCATTTTATTTACCGCTTACAGAAGATGTGCAATATAGTTCTGAAATTACTGATCTCATTACTAATTACCAGATAGATTGGAATATTGAATTATGTTTTGAAAATGGTAATATTTTGTAAGTGTAATTTAGTTTTAGAAAAATTAATTTTCAAATTGTAGGTATTGATTTGACAGAAAATGGCATATCCCTTCCATCATCACCTTCATCAAATGAATCAATACTGAGTAGTGATTCTCAATCATCATTAAATTCAAACAGAGTTAGTATTTAATAATATTGGAACGAATGTAGTTTAGCTTACAAGCGATTTTTTAAGATTTTTATTTCCAAAATGTGTGTTTTTGCGTGCTTAATTTGATAGTACTTTCAAAAAAGTCACTTAATCTTCATTTGGAAGTTACAATCAGAAAACTACAAACTGCTTGATTTTTCTAAATATCTTATTTTTGAGATTAGAATACCAACAATTTCTTTTTGAAATATTTTTATATGTAAATAATAGGAATTATATGCTTAATATTTTGGTAAAATCAGAATTCATCTATTGTATTTATTTTTATGACTATTACTTCGAAATAGAGGGTTTGAATGACGTTTTGAAAGTACCTCAAAATAGGCATGCAAAAATACACATAATGGAAATAAAATTTAAAAAATCGCTTGGGAAAAAAATTGCTTTTATGCAGTAATATTTTTCAAAAGAATGTATTGTATAATTTTTGTTTATGTTGTTGAAACAGGAAAAATTGAACATATCAAATTTAAGTAATGATAATAATGCATGTAAAACCCTCGATACAGATTCTTCACCTCCTGAGATTTGGAAATTTCCAGTTCCTACAGAACAAACATTAAATAAAGATATTTCTTCCAAAACTAATACTTCAATAAATAATAATTGTAATTATTATATTTGCAAATGATTTTAAAGATTAGTTTTTGATGTGTGTGCCTTATATTGATATTTTATTTTCTTTATTAATTGAAGTGTCTTTAATGCTCAGTAATCATGCAAATAACATATCCTCTCCAGCATCACCTTCATCAAGTTTATCAACACTGAGTAATGATTTTCAATCATCATTAAATTTAAACAGAGTTAGTATTTGGTAATATTTTCCACATATATATATATATATTGTATAATTTTTGTTTATATTGTTGAAACAGGAAAAATCAAAAATATTTGAAAATTTAAGTAATGACAATAATACGTTTGAAACCCGCAAGGCAGATTCTCCAACTCGTGTGATTTGGACATTTCCAGTTCCTACGGAACCCACATTAAATGCAAATATTTCGTCCAAAACTAATAGATCAATAAATAATAATTGTAATTATTAAATTTGCAAATGATTTTTAGATAAGTTTTTGATGTGTGTGCCTTACATAAATATTTTATATTATTTATTAGTTGATATGTGTTCAATGCTCAGTAATCGTACAAATAACATATCCTCTCCAGCATCACCTTCATCAAGTTTATCAACACTGAGTAGTGATTCGCAATCATCATTAAATTTAAACAGAGTTAGTATTTAGGAATATTTTTCACATATATATATTGTATACTTTTTGTTAATATTGTTGAAACAGGAAATATTGAAAATATCTGAAAATTTAAGTAATGACAATAATACGTTTCAAACCCGCAGGGCAGCTTCTCCAACTCGTGTGATTTGGACATTTCCAGTTTCTACAGAACAAACATTAAATGCAGATATTTCTTCCAAATCTAATAGTACAATAAATAATAATTGTAATTATTATACTAGCAGATGATTTTTAGATATGTTTTTTTATATGTGTGCCTTTTATTGATATTATATTTTATTTATTAGGTGATGTGCCATCAATAATCAGTAATCATACTAATAACATATCGCCTCCATCATCACTTTCATTTATTGATTTAACATTGAGTAGTGATTCTCAAACATCATTAAATTCAAACAGAGTTAGTATTTAGGAATATCTTTTACCTGTAAATATTGTATAATTTTTGTTTATATTGTTGAAACAGGAAAAATCAAAAGTAACTGCTAATTTAAATAATGACAATAATATGTGTCAACCCCGCAATGCAAATGCTTCAGCTCATGAGATTTGGACATTTCCTGTTCCTACGGAACAAACAGTAAATGAAGATATTTCTTCCAAAACTAATAGTTCAAGAAATAATAATTGTAATAATTATATTTGCAAATGATTTTGAGATAAGTTTTTGATGTGTGTGCCTTACTTTGATTTTTTTTTTTTTATTTATTAGGTGATGTGCCATCAATGCTCAGTAATCATATAAATAACATATCCCCTCCCGTATCACTTTCATTGATTGAATCAGCATTAAGTAGTAATTCTCTATCATCAATAAATTTAAACAGAGTTAGTAATTAGTCATTCTTTCCACCAGTTTATATTTTATGATTTTTGTTTATATTGTTGAAACAGAAAAAATCGAAAAAATCTACAAATTTAATCAATGAAAATAATATGAGTAAAACCCGCAACACAGATTCTCGAACTCGTAGAATTAGAAAATTTCCAGTTCGTACAAAACCAACATTAAAAGCAGATATTTCCAAGGAAACAAATAGTTCAATAAATAATAATTGTAATAATTATATTTGCCAATGATTTTGAGATAAGTTTTTGAAGTGTGTGCCTTACTTTGATTTTTTTTTTTTATTTATTAGGTGATGTGCCATCAAGGCTCAGTAATCATATAAATAACATATCCCCTCCCGTATCACTTTCATTGATTGAATCAACATTGAGTAGTGATTCTCAAACATCAATTAATTCAAACAGAGTTAGTATTTAGGAATATTTTTTACTTGTAAATATTGTAAAATTTTTGTTGTATTGTTGAAACAGAAAAAATCGAAAAAATCTTCAATTTTAAGCAGTGAAAATGATATGTGTAAAACCCACAATACAGTTTCTCGAACATCTAAAATTAGTAAATTTACAGTTCCTACAAAGCCGACATTAAATGCAGATATGTCTTCTGAAACCATTAGTTCAAATAATAATAATTGTAATTAATATATATGCAAATGATTGTAAGATAAATTTATATTTGTGTGCCTTACATTGGTATTTTAGTTTCATTATTAGTTGATGTGTGTTCAATGCTCAGTAATCGTACAAATACCATATCCCCTCCAGCATCACTTTCATCGATTGAATCAACATTGAGTAGTAATACTCAATCATCATTAAATTTAAACAGAGTTAGTATTTAGGAATATTTTTCACAGGTGTATATTTTATAATTTTTGTTTATGTTGTTGAAACAGAAAAAATTGAAGACATCAAATTTAAGTAATGAAAATAATATGTGTGAACCCCACAATACAGATTCTGCAACTCCTATAATCAAAAAATTTCCAGTTCCTACAAAACCAACATTAAATGCAGATATTTCTTCCATAACTAATAGTTCTATAAATGATAATTGTAATTATTATATTTGCAAATGATTTTTAAGATAAGTTTTTGATGTTTGTACTTTACATTGGTTTTATAGTTTCTTTATTAGTTGATGTATGTTCAATGATCAGTAATCATACAAATAACATGTCTCCTCCAGCATCACTTTCATCTATTCAATCAACATCAAATAGTGGTTCTCAATCATCATTAAATTTAAACAGAGTTAGTATTTAGTAAAGTTTTTTACGATTATATATTGTATGATTTTTTTTTATATTGTTGAAACAGAAAAAATCAAAAAAATCTTCAAATTTAACCAATGAAAGTAATATGTGTAAAACCAGCAATACAGACTCTCGAACTCGTAAAAATAAAAAATTGTCAGTTTCTACAAAACCAACATTAAATGCAGATATTTCTTCAGAAACTAATAGCTCAACAAGTAAGAATTTTTAATATTATATTTACAATTGATATTTAGATCATTGTTTCATGTGTGTGCCTTATATTGACATTTTATTTTATATATTAGTTGATGTGTCTTTATCGCTTAGTAATCATATAAATAACATTTGCCCTCCAGCATTACCTGCATCAATTGAATCAACACCGAGTAGAGATTCTCAATCGTCATTAAATTTGAACAGAGTTAGTATTTATTAATTTTTTTCACGAGTATATATTGTATAATTTTTGTTTATATTGTTGAAACAGAAAAAATTGAAAAAATCTCCAAATTTAAGCAATGAAAATATTATGTGTAATACCCGCAATACAGTTTCTCGATCCCGTAATATTAAAAAATTTCCAGTTCCTACAAAATCAACATTAAATGCAGATATTTCTTCTGAAACCAATAGTTCAAAAAATAATAATTGTAACTATTGTTCTTGCAAATGATTTATTATAAGTTTTTGATATGTGCACGTTACATTGATATTTTAGTTTGTTTATTAGTTGATGTGTGTTCAATGCTCAGTAATCATACAAATAACATATCTTCTCCAGCATTACCTCCATCAATTGAATCAACACCGAGTAGAGATTCTCAATCGCCATTAAATTTGAACAAAGTTAGTATTTATTAATTTTTTTTTCACGAGTATATATTGTATAATTTTTGTTTATATTGTTGAAACAGAAAAAATTGAAAAAATCTTCAAATTCAAGCAATGAAAATAATATGAGTAAAACCCGCAATACAGTCTCTCGAACTCGTAAAATTAAAAAATTGTCAGTTCCTACAAAACCAACATTAAATGCAGATATTTCTTCTGAAACTAATAGTTCAACAAGTAAGAATTTTTAATATTATATTTACAATTGATTTTTAGATAAGTGTTTCATGTGTGTGCCTTATATTGATACTTTATTTTATATATTAGTTGATATGTCTTTATTGCTTAGTAATCATATAAATAACATTTGCCCTCCAGCATTACCTCCATCAATTGAATCAACACCGAGTAGAGATTCTCAATCGTCATTAAATTTGAACAAAGTTAGTATTTATTAATTTTTTTTCACGAATATATATTGTATAATTTTTGTTTATATTGTTGAAACAGAAAAAATTGAAAAAATCTTCAAATTTAAGCAATGAAAATTTTATATGTAAAACCCGCGATACAGATTCGCCAATTGCTAAAATTAGAAATTTGCCAGTTCCTACAAATCCAACATTAAATGCAGATATTTCTTCCGAAACTAATAGTACAAAAAATAATAGTTGTAATTATTATATTTGCAAATGATTTTTAAGAAAAGTTTTTGCGTGTCTTATATTGATATTTTTTTTTATTTATTAGTTGATGTGTCTTCATTGCTTTGTAATCCTATAAATAGTTCCCAAAGTACAGAATCAAATATTTGTGGTAATTAACATTATAGAAAAAAATCTAAATATTTATTTTTTTTTAATTCCATTTTTATATTGGAATTAAACAATAATAAACTATTTATTTTTTTAGCATCAAATGACCCTCAAACAATTTCATTAACTCCAGTTGGCTTTGGCTTTTCAAAAATAACCAAATTAATTTGTGGTTCAGTAATTCCAGGAGTATTAAAAAGTAAAACAAAATCTAATAATCGGTTGACATTGCCAAAAGGTGGAATTGATAAATCATTTTCTAGTTTACCCATAGCTAACCAAGTATATTATTTATTATAAGTATAAACTAAGAAGTTTTAGCTAAATTTATTGTTTTTTTTAGAAACGTCTTCAACGATTGATAAGAAATCGAGAAGCTGCATGTTTATCTCGTTTAAAAAGAAAAGAGTATGTAGCATCCATTGAAAAAAAATTACATATTTTAGAAAAAGAAAATTTGAAATTAAAAAAGGTGAGTCTGTTATAATTGTTTAAATATTTTTATTATTTATAATAGAACTACATTATGTCCCTTCTAAAAAAATTCAGCATTGAAAGAAAGACTACTTACTTTTGATAAATTATCTTTAATGTCTGATAGGCCTAAAATGAATAAAGCCAACAAGGCTACAGCTGTATTATCTATCAGTGTTTTTAATGATCTCATTAAATATTGTACCTTTGGGGTTATTATTTTTTTTTTATAATTAATATTTTTCAAAAAATTTTCTTTATTTTAGACTATTTAGTCCAGAGCCAATTGACAATTCAGTGATGCATACAAATCATGTCAAAAATTTCTAAACAAAAAATATTGAAAACTTAAATTTTAATAGCAGAAATCTTCTGTGGATTGGTGATTTTGAGGTCACTAATTCGTCATTGAAAGCTACAGAACATCTTGTGTTTATCATTTATAAATATATCTGAATCAAAAAGGTAAAACCCAGTTAAAATATTAAAGTTTGTTGTATTTAGTTTTATATAATATGTTATGTTATCTATTATAATCCATGACAAAATATATCCTGGCTGTCATATCTGCTTGGTTTTTTTTTTTTTTTTTTTTACATTTATTAATTTCTGCTTATCAAAACATACTTCCAAAATTCAATGTCAGAAGTATATTTATATGTAAAAATTAGAATACTATACAAATATAGCATAGGTAACCTAAATTAATAATAGTTATAAATAAATATTTTATTTATTCTTGACTTAATGAATCGGCTATGCTGGCTATCTAAAATTGTATCTATCAATTATCTTTTAATTATTTTATTAAAATGTAAGAATATATTATACTTATGATGATCTTTTTTTATTTCTAAACCTACCCCCTTTTCCCTGAAGATATATCATAGGTAATAGGTAAATAGTTCATATCACCACCTGCATTCCATACAATTTTCTAATATTTCCCATCTCCTAAAACTTAGTCCAAATCACGCCACTAATATTATCCTTATCATTTTTATGAGAAGTTTTTGTTATACTTTTAAAACTTTTTTTCAATTAAAGCACAATTATTTACTTGAAATGTTGAGATATATAATAATGATGCTATTTGTTTAGTCTTAAGTGATGGTTAAAAAAACATAATATAGCTGTCTATGAAAACTATTTACAATTTACTTATTTGTAAAGTCTAAATTTTAATAAATAATAGATATATTATATACATAATTTTAATAGATTATTATACAATATACATTACATAGTAATACAACCAAATTATTTAACTGTTATTATTATCAGAATTGACACTGTGAAAATGGATCGAACCAAGGCATTTTAAGTTATTATCCATGGTTTATGTAAATCCAATGATGCTAAATACAAATATTACATATTCTAAACATAATGAATACATTGGGGAAAAAAAATAAAAACTTTGACAAATCCTCAAAAAAGAATTTTAAGTTTGTATTTAATGTTTAAAGCAAAATAAACAATTTATGTAACCTTATAAGTAAATATATATATTAACATTATAGAAGAGAAAACTTAATCCAGTTAACAATGATTTCATAGACAGTTTTGGTCAATTAAAATTAGATAGCAAAGGAAGTTTATTTAATTCTATTGAAAGACAAAATGATACATTTTATGTTGTGTCTTTTTCTGGTGATCATTTACTATTGCCAGCTAGTTATCATAATTATAATACTACTCTACAACCAAAGATGTCGCTTGTTTTTCCATCTTTATTGTCAAATGGTATGAATTAAATTTATTTAGATAATACAATTATAATAAATTTGAATGTGTCTTTGTCAAATACACCAAATAAAATAAAAGTATATTATTATATTTCTATTTGAAATTTTGTATAGGGTCAGATTTTGTCTATGATTCAAATTGATTGTGCAGTAAAAACATTACATATTCGAGACATTAATTTAAAACAATGATTTCAAAACCAATCCTTCTTCTAATATAAAATAACAACATGGTATAAAATATTAGTATTTTTTATTGTATTCGTTTTATTACATAACTAAATATTTATTACATATTTTTACAGACCATAGAAATAATATTGCACCTAAACTTTATTTTATACGACAAAATTATCCTGGTTTTATGTTTAGTAAAATGAATCAAGGGCTCCCAAGTTTCTCAAAGTATATAATAATAATACAATTTGTTTGCAAACCATAAAATCAGAAATGTTTTATTTAAATGCAAGCCTGTTATTTTCGCTATATCATTTCTACCAAGTACCTATGTAAGTTGTTTAATATCTACTTAAATAGTATTCAATTTTGTAGAATATCTATGTAATTATAATAATTTATTTTATATAATTATAATTTTTCTTCAAATATAGCTAAAATGCATATAATAATGTTATTATAACATAATATGAAATTGGTTTTGTTATGTAAGTATGTATTAAAAAATAATTAAAATATTTTTCATTAGAATATAATTAAGGTAAAGCAATATAATACTTAACAAAAATAAAACAATAGATTTTGTAAGGTTTTTTAGGTTTTTATATCTTTATTGGAATAATTGATTATTTTTAAATTATGTGTTATGTTATGTTTGTTATATATATATATATATATATATATATATATATATATACATTTGTAAATACTAGGTTAGTAAATTATATCAAATTGCAGATAATTAATGATCAAGTTTGTAGTTTTATTATATTCAGTTTTATTTTTTTTATTTTTAACTGTAGATGCAATCTTATAAATAAGCAATTAATGATTAATTTAATAGAAATTTTAACATTTTAATTACATTTCTTATTTATGATCAACATAAGATTAATTTATGTTACATTATTTAGGTAGGTAATTTATTTGTATTTGTATAGATATTAGTCCAAATTTACTAACGTTCTTTTTTTAATATTTTAACATAAATACTTACATTTAATTGTATTAATTGTTGTATAGATTGTGTTATAAATGCCATTAAGCTATTTTATTATGTATTGTTTCATTTTGAATTTTATGAAATGAAAATCACTATAACAGAATTATAATGAATTTTCAAATTTTTATGCTTTGGCTTGTTTAGAAATAAAATAATAAACATTAAATTTATATTACATGTTATCAAGATGTTTATAATTATTATAACTTTTCTATAAATGCCGTTTAACATTTAGCAAATAAAATAAATGAATAAATCTAAATATATTCAACATTTATAAAAGAACATGAAAACTTAAAATGTATTCCATAGGTAAATAAGTTTACCTAAAATGTTTAAATGCTGAGGAATTGAAAGTTTTTTAAAGGTATTATCATACAAGCAAGATTCTTTCTTAAACGTGTACAGATAGTGATCTTCACAATGTAATATTTTAATAATTTTTTAAAATAAACGCATCAGCAGTGTCCCTGTTATGGCCGGCAACCTTGTAACATAATTCATTGAGTACCGACCTATAATATTGTATTTCAACCAGTGTTGGGAAAGTTCTGTTTAATAATTAATTTGTTTCGGTACTGTTATAGGTAGGAAGTTGGGAAGGTAAGATAACTAAAATTGAAAACTATTCTTACTTTTTAGAATCTACATGTTTAAAATCACATAAATTAAATAAAATTGCCTAGTTCCTACACTAGAAACTGAAAAATGAATAACATATTACTCAAAAAAAAAAATTAATTTTGAATTTACTTAAAATTCAAAATATAATATTTTATTAATTGTACAAAAAAAAAAAAGTATTACACTGATATTTTGTTTTGTTTAAGAAAGACTAATTTTTCTAACAAAGCACCACTTAACTTTTGACTTTTTACAATCGTGCAATATAATACCGACACTAAACAATTTCTAAACAATATTATCACTAAAATATTGTACATTTCATTTTTGTTTTTCCTAATAGAAGGAACGGAAATTTCCGTTCACGTTCCACATAAATAGGAATTCTTTTCCGTTCCTAGTTCCTGTATTTGAAAATGAACGCGTTCCAAGCTTCGTTCCTATGAAAGGAACTCAGGAACGCGTTCCTTCCCAACACTGATTTCAACATAACAATAGTAACGCTGGTGACAATGAAAATTGCGTAAAAAAATATCATTATATATTAAAATATTTCATAATTATTATTTGAGGCTGGATGTAGCCAGTAGAGTATTCTACACATATCCCGTGTACTCAACATCTTGTGGAAAACTCACAAGTTTACTGTGTATACTATTAAATTGTTTAAAGAAAAAACACTGTCCCAGGCTAATGGGGATGGGTGCAGTCACTATTGTAGGTGAAAAGCTTGGAAGGTAGGATACAGAAGAGAATCTAATGTATACCATCGCTAACGAAAATACGATTCTGAACAGAGTTCAGTTGATAGTGATGCTTTGTCAACAATATATATGTGTCATATTGTGGTAAATTAATTAAATAGGCGTTATATATTATTTTTAATAATATTTGTTTAATGTACCGATTTTCAGTTTTTCCCGTGTTATTTTCATTTATCATGTTTGTGGAGAAAACTGAGAAAATCGAAAAATGACCCCCATAAAGTACCTCCCTGCACCTATTTCCTTTCAGAAAACGTACTACACTTAAAAATCGATCGCGAGTTGTTCATATCACTTATGCAACCAAAACCGAAATAGTAATTAAAATTGTGTTTATTCCAGTAATTATTATAAACAACTAAAAACGTTACGATTTAATAGTACTATTGTGTTTCAAACATAACAGCAGTTTGTTTTTAAAACTGTCGAGCGTTTGGTTTTAATTAGACTTTTTGTGTACCCCAATATCTATTTTCCCGTAAACAATATAGTCCATAAGTAATATATATATAAAACTAGGCGGTTTAGTATACCCTCGGAAAAATATCGGGAACACCACTGCATATAGGTACTAAAGCATTTAAACCTAAATTAATGAGAAAATTGAAATTTAGATTGTATTGTCATGACGGTTTGAAGAATGCATTCAATATGAATCATCTGGGTGTTGTATTAAACACGGATAGTTCTTTATTTTCGCATCTATTATTTACCGCAATTTTGTAGTTTTAGTTTAAAATAATCATTGCAATCAATTTGAACAATTAAACAAATCGGTCGAATAAATTCGAGTTGGGTAGTAGCACATATATTATGCGAGAAACGGTCAAATCCGTGTGCGGACAATCTGACTTTCACGATTTTTTTTTTTTTCTGCGCGTTTTTATAATATTACGTTTTGAAATAATTTTACGAAACCTACACGCGACACGGAAAATAAACAATTGGTATCTATGCACATATTTGTCATAGTTTTGATACGAACATTACAAAAGACGAAATTTTAAATTATTCCATTACATATTTATTTATGGTATAGATCACAGATTTATAAATCTCAGTGATGATAGGGCGCCGTGCAGATAATAGACGATTGATGACACTATAGAGCGCATAATAGACGGAAATACGTTTTGTTGGACTATTATAGAAATCTTAAAATGTCAAAAATACAAAAATAGAATATCAATTGATTATTGGTTTTATCATTGATGATTGGCGATTACTATGATTATTTATTATTATATAGGTACCGTAATAAATTAATATATCGTTAATCTCCGTTATTTAATGTATATTATCGAATGCGATTAATTAGTAATTGTTTTTAATATAGTTAGGTATGCAACGCAATAACTTTCAATTACGAACGGTCATGTAACGATTTATTCGGGATTTGAAAATATTATAATAGCGGTGAATTTTCGGAAAACGTCAGATTTAAAGGGAGGAAATCGGTTGAAAGTAATCACGTATTCAATGTTAATGAAATCGCTTCGGAAAACAATAGCCTAATCAGTTGTTATGTCGTAAGACAGATATCTGTTACCCTAGATCCATGTATGGTAAAATTACAAGTAAGTTAACTGTTAATAATTACTTACAAAATGAGACTTACAGTTCTTAAAAGTCTCAACACGTTACATTTTAAAACTCTGTATTTATAATAGGTAAACGCCACTAATAGAAATGTCGTGAGCTCATCTTGCCGACGCCCGGTTGGTCTAGGAGAGGAGTGTAAACATATTTTTGCATTGCCACCATATGTTAATATTGAAAATGGCCGTTCGAAAACTAGTGATCATTGTGAGCGGAGCGCACCCAAAATAACAAAAAGTTCGAAAAGATTCTTATTGCAAAGGTAGAAATAATTAAAGGATTGTTTCCTCCGAGAAATCCATCTGTTAGTTTTATTGTACCAAATAATATTGCTGACTTTCGAGTACCTTCATTATTCAGTGGTATGCATCATGAAGAAAGAAAACCGAATGTGAAAGAATAGTTGTAACTGTTGTTAATGAACATTTTAGAAAATGTATTTAAATTATTAGAATTTGAAAAATGCGCTTTCTTAGTCAATATTTTAAATAATTATAAAAAATAAAAATTAACTTTCAATTTTATTTTTGAAAACCAAGTACTTGTAACTTTTTATGAAAATAATATTAACATCACTAATATTCAATTTTGTTATATTTTTAAATCTACAATTAAATTCTACAATATGGTTTAATGAAAGATCATTAAAATTGACAGCTAGTAAAGCATACTTGGTTAAAACAAGATTAAACAATTTTAAAAAACTGGTAGATTTGGTAATACAAAAACCTATGTATAGAAGGGGTCTAACCATAGACATTATCAACCAAAAGCTATTTTTGAAATTCACTGTGTTTTAAACATTTTTAACTAATCAATAATTTCAAATATTGCCAGCGGAAAATACAAACGTATTTTATCTACATAAATTTATCTGTTTTGGTACCATAAACCACAGTTTTATAAAACAAGATTTATGGATAATACATAATATAATAATCATAGGGTAAAACTATTACTATATGATAATATTATGTTCATGATATAGATAATAATATTATCTATAAACCTTGGCCATAAACATGTCTTGTCTCGTAGTGTTTATTTCTTATCATTATATTTTTCAAAATAATTAGTACGATTTTTATCATCGACATTCAATAATTATTATAATAAAATTAAACAACAAAATGACTTCGCCACGATCAAAGTCGCCCAAACCACAGAATTCATTCAGAAAAGAAGATAGTAAGGATGAGACAACTTTCTGGGACAAAATCGGAACGTTGGGACGTAAAAAGAGAATCAAGGAAGGTAATCGGTGTTGTTAACATTACCTTATATGGTCATCCCAATATTTATGTATAAAATAATAAATAATAATATATTTTCGTTTTGTACCATTGAATAAGAATTTTTTAATTTACCTTGTCACAGTGCAAGAAGTCCAAGAAGAAGGCAAATATGCTATCGATTCGCCTGGTAATCCAGCTATGGCTGATGTTCCTCCAGAAGAATATACACTCGGTACGTTAGTATTATATAATCTAAGAAAAAATGTTGAATGTTTGTTATTTCTATTTTAGAAGAAAATGAAGAACGAACTATGGTGGAGCCCAAATCCTACTCCGATCCAAAGTTACTGGAATTGATGAGCATATTAATAGATTGGGTAAATGATGTTTTAGCAGATCATCGGATTATTGTTCAAAATCTAGAACAAGATTTGTATGATGGACAAGTTTTACAAAAACTGTATGGTAAATATAAGAAATCAAAATGTTAGTGCTACCAAATAAATAGATACAAATATTAAAATATATGCATTATTGTGTATTTATTTTAGATATTTGTTGAAAATATTGTTCAAATTATCTTTATTATTAATCTGATTAATTAACTGAATACTTAACCTTGTTATTATGAAAAGGTACGTGTAAAAATAACTTCTTCTAAAATAGTTCCTGGTGTAAATTATTTTTAACTAGATATTAATAGGTATACATGTAAAGCTATACAATCAATATTTTCCTATACATACAGTTAGGATTGCAGGAATTTGTAAATAAAAAAAGGACGGCCATACTTCGCATGTAGGCACAGTCACTATTGTAGGTGGGAAGTTGGGTAGATAGGATACAGACAGGAATTTAATGTATATCTGTAATCAACGATCAACCATTTTTAACAAAAAAACGATTCTGAGTGGAGTTCAGTATTACTTTATCAACAATATATGTCATATTATGGTAAAATGATTACAACAATATGTATTTCAATGACAACAATGATTGTTTAAAAAAGTTTAAACTAATAAAAACTTAATAATAGCAAAAAATAAAATAAAAACTGTAGCCTATGACAACCTTATTTTTAATCTTTCAATCTTTTTTAACCTAAAGAACCAGGTTTTTCTTATTATCTTAAATATTAATGTGAATTTCAAAAAATGACCTATTAAGTATTACCCAGAGAACATTTCCTTTTCGAAAAGGTGCTATACTTGATTATCGGTGTAAGCTTTCTGGTAGAAAGTGTTCATATAAAAAAAAAAATAAAACAAAAATTTAACATCTTTGTAAAACCAATAAATATTTTGCTAAACTCAGAATCTAAAAGATTATGAATATTTTTCGTCAGCTGCCATTTACAGATAAATCTGTTTGTGATACAAATTGTATTACTTATATTTTTGTCAATATAATTCTTCTATTTATGTTAGATTATTATTTTGTTACAAACCATTTGATATGATTTAATGATATTTAGAAAAGTTGACTCATGAAAAATTGGATGTACCGGAAGTAACTCAATCGGAAGAAGGACAAAAACAAAAATTATATGTTGTACTTGGGTCGGTAAATAATGTAAGTTAATATTATTGAAATGTATTTATTGTATTATTTTTTTATTGTTTTCATTAATGATTAATATTCTAGATTTTGGGGTTAACTGGTAATAGATTATCTCAACAAAAATGGAGTGTTGAAAGTGTTCATTCTAAGAACCTTGTAGCTATTTTGCATTTATTGGTGTCTCTAGCTCGTCATTTTCGAGCACCGATTCGTCTTCCTGAAAATGTCACTGTTAATGTAGTGATTGTTCAGGTATTTAATATTTATTAAAGGGTTATGTTAAATTTATTTTTTTTTTAATAATATTATTCATATAGAAACGAGATGGTTTGCTGAAAAATCGAACTGTCATTGAAGAAATAACATCTAGATATGATGACCTTGGCATGAGATGTGAACGTGATGCTTTTGATACTCTATTTGATCATGCACCTGATAAATTAGAAGTTGTCAAAAAGGTATTAATCATTTTATTATTTTTCACTGTATCAGTAATAATTAATTGGCATTTTTTAGTCCTTAGTGACATTTGTTAATAAGCATTTGAACAAAATTAACATGGAAGTGCAAGATTTAGACACTCAATTTCATGATGGTGTTTACCTGACATTACTAATGGGCTTACTGGAAGGATTTTTTGTACCATTGTATTCTTTTAATTTGTCACCTCAAAATTTTGAACAAAAAGTACATAATGTTAATGTGGCATTTGATCTGATGCAAGAAATTGGATTAGCTGCACCTAAAGCTAGACCGGAAGGTAACATTTTATTTTTATTATATAATACAATTTTTAAATTTATATTAACCACACATTATTGTATTATATTATAGTATGTACACCAAATTACTCTATGGCAATTATTAGGCTAATTTTATTTGCATAAACTATATATTATACATACAAATTGTAGGACCATTATTTCAGCATAAATCTGGAACGCCAAGAAAAATGCCAACTTAACTTGATACACATATTATAACTTGTGATTTAGAAAATAATACTATGGGGTTAAGCACCCTTCAGTGTAGGATAGAAAGGATGACTTATAATTAGAGTCTAGATATATATATTTTCTTTGAAATTTGAAGTTATACTTGATGTATTCTTTTGATGTCACTAATATGAATAGGGACAGTCTAAATGATATTTTAATTCAAATTTAATTGATTAGAGGTACTGACAATGAAAAAGAGGTAAGTGCCAAAAAGTAAATTTTACAGGAAAAGAAAAAATGTTTTTTGAACTCAAAAACTGTACTTCCCCAACTAGAAAACTACTTTATTAATGCAAATTACTGAAAATAATACATGAACACTTTAAAAAGTTCAAATGGATTATTTTTAAATAATATAAATGTAAATAAAAGTTAAATAAAAAACAATGTTAATTAAGTTACTTGCAAAAATCTTTATAGAATGCATGGTAATTCTCATCTAAAATCTCCCAACATTGTAGTAAGTCTTCTTTCCTTCATTTATGACTGATATTCTTTTTACCAGGTGGAAAGGTACTAAGAGGTACCAACTTTGGTAGTTTTGCCTCTTGAAGATCGCCTTTACATCCCATTCTTGCTTTATATTATTTATGAATATATGAAGTTCATGAACATGGGTAAAACAAAAATAGTTTCAATATTATAATAATATTGTTATGTGTGATTGTATACTTACCTTTTTTTTAATGCCAATTATGATAAAGTTACCACTAGTGAAATCTTCCTGTACTAATAATTACTAAATCAAACGGAATAGAAACTTACTTCCTTTACTACACCATTGGCATTGGAACAAACTTTATTTACAGTGAAAGAAAGTGATTTTGAAATTTTTAACACTCGCCTCATTTTTCATTGTCAGTGCCTCAATTAGTATTCTGTAGAACCATCCAGAAAATTATCGAAATAATAATTTTTCTGAACAAATTGACTCAAAAAATTGTTAGGTATTCAACTATCATGTTTTTTTTTCAATAACTTGGACAATACCCAAGTATTACCTTTCATTGGATAATGAAAGCTAGTATTTAATTACTTAATGTTATTCATTATTTTACCAAATCAGATAATTTATATTTTCCTAAACTATTTTTGTTTTAAAATTTCATTTCATGTCATTTGAATAATACATTACTTACCTAGGTATTAATTATTACATAGTTATTAATTTATAGTTTTATTTTATATGAAATTCATATAAAGTATTGTATTTATGATTTTAATGTTTTTTTTTTTTTTTATGTAGATATTGTGAACTTGGATTTGAAGTCAACATTAAGAGTGCTATATAACCTTTTTACCAAGTACAAAAATGTATATTAATCAAACAAAATTAATATTTTATATTTTAGTAATGTTAAATTAATCAAAATTAATATTGATTTAAACTACATTATTGTTAACTTTAATAAAAGATATTGATTTTTAATTATTAACATTTGACAATCAAGATTAACAATATATTTTAGTACCATATTATACATTTAAGTAATAATATATATATTTATCTATTTTAATGTTAAGTGTAAGCAGTGTTTGGGACATATAGTACTTGAAATATTTTTAAATTTTTAAAAAAAAAACTAGTGAAAAGCCACTGAAATAAGGAATTGCCGAATTTAATATTAGAACTTTTGAATCTTTTTAAAATTATACTTATGGATTTATATTGCCCAGTGCTCGAAATGAAAAATTTTACAAACCGGAACACTTACAAAATTAATATGCTTTATGATGGCTAATAATATAGAAAACTCAGTTCTCAGATCTGGTTTTATAAATTGGTACCTATTAAGGATTCCGTTTTATTTTAACACAATGAAAAACTGTCTTATTTAAAGTATACAACAATTTTAAGCACTGTCAATATCGTTATATTATTATAAATTTGTTAAAAGAAAATTTGATTTATTATAAAAATTATTATTGATTATTTTAATCACCTTGATTGTGATCGAAAACATTTTACCCAGTGATGATTTAATTAATTTCTTTAATATTAATTTATTAACTTAATGTTTTTATGAAACTGAACTTTAAAGTTCTAATTTTTACCTTACCGAAACAGTTACAGAAGTCCATATGAACTGGAACGCCGTTCTGGTACGTTCTAGTCCATTTTGAGCACTGGTATTGCCTGATGCCTAGCAGCGATTGCCATTAAAAGTAGATAAGACAACAAATACAAGTTGAATAATAGAATATAAAGGCAAAATTTATTAAATATCATAGACGAGAAAATTAATTTTATAAGTAGCTTAAGATTAATTATGATGAAATATAAAAAATGCAAAAAAAACTAGTAAAAAGCACATTTAAATTGTTTGTAATATGATATAAATGTCAATAATTCTACTAAATTTAATATTAATTTTAAAAAAATAAGCAAATACTGTAAGTTCCGAACCCTGGTTATAAGATACTAATAATTTAATAACTGTTTAACATTTTTATATTATATAATTTATTTTGTTATTTTAGTTACAAAAATAAAAATTTAAAGATGTTTTAATAATTATAGTTTATGAATTTTAAACAAAATAATTCAAGTCCACTCTTATCTTTGAATCTTTGTATTTAAATACATCTACACCTATATGTGTCTTTTTTTTTTTATACTTTTTGGTACTATAAATTTAATCTAAGATCACAACAAAAATATCAATATAAGTTTCAACTAATCAAAATAACATGTAGATAAAATACAACAGTCAATAGTTCAAGAATTTCGAGTGTAAGTAATTGATATTTGAAATTTAGATAGAAAGGAACAGCTATTAACAGCTTTATTGTTTAATAATGATTGAAAACTGGTAGTTATTTTAGGTACCTATAAGGAGAAAGTGTAAAAAGTTTAAAATAGTGCTAAAATAATGCTTAAACGATTCCAAAATGATAAATAAGAAAAAAATAATTATAAACGGAAATCATATTCACTTAAAATCATCCATTATCATAAAAGGATCACTCCTGTATATGCAGACAAAAATATTTATTTGTTTATGTTTACAAATGTTTTTTTTTTTTAAATTTAAAGCATGGGATTGATAGCCTCTTTAAATAAATACATTCTAGGAAGTATAGAGTACAAAATAACTAGAGTGCAAAATTTAAACTTGGTTCAGGGCATTGAAATCCCTAGCTATGTCATTGTATATTTTGTACAGAACAATAAGCACAGTTATAAAACTAGTTTTAGATTTAGCAATATTATAATACAATATAGGAGAAATAAACATGAAAATGATCACATATATAACATTTCTACAGTATTGCATCTTAATTTATTGTTCAATTTGAAAAACTTTATTTGATAGGTATGCTGTTGATGTGAGTACAGTTGCTTTTTACAAAATACCACTTGGTCATCGTTAACACTACTAATCCACGTTGTTGATGGAAAATACATCGAGGACAATTTATTTGTTTCGAGTACAGTGTCTTGTGTTGATATAGTTAAATATGCTATAGAATCATACACCCGACTGCAAAAGTAAATAGCATCACGCAAACATGCACATAACATGTGTGCAAGTCTAATCGCTTCATCACTATCTTCATTGGTATAGTAATTATGTAAGTCTGACACTAAAATTACACGAGGCACATTAGGACTGGTTTCATGGATTGAACTAGTGTATTTGATGAGATCTTGCCATCGACACAATGTTCTAATTAAAATTTAAATAAAATGTATTATACATGAATGAATAAACTAATTGTCATCGAAATAAATTGTTAAATTTAATTACAGGAAAGTAATACGATTGAGTGCATGAATGCTAGGCGGCTTAGCACCGTCTAGAGGAATTGGTAGAGTTTTTATTTGAGTTATTTGTATGTACACCACTCTATACCCAAGTTCAGACCAATATACAGCACTCTACATTTGACAAATAATAAGTGATTAGTACCTAATATAGTTTTTCACCTTTAAAAGTAGAGTATTCAATTTCATAAAATTATACTTAGTATTAAAATTTATATATACAAGCAAATAGGTAAATTAACAATTTAAAATAAACTACACCTACTTCAAACAATAAAGATTGAGAGTAGGCTGAAGGGCCACAAAGCAGCGTACATTTCATTTTGGAACTGTCCATCACGGAAACGTAATTATTTTTAATATATTGAATAAAAAATAAAACTCATATTGAATTGGAACTTCAAATTATCATTTTTTATTTTCTTGAATCTTGTCTTGAATTATTTATATTTCATGAATTGAAAATTGTCGTTATCACTAGTTTACTGTGATTAGATGGTTAAAACCATAGTTAATAAATTGTTATTTGGTAATGGTTCATACTGTTCTCAATTCCTGTTCCCGCCAGACTGAATGAAACGGCATTGAACTGTGTGTACTGTGTAGTATGGATCGCAGTATCGCACCGAATTTTAGCTAAACAAAAATATAAATTCTTTATTTTGCTTATTATTCATAAAGATGTATTGAGTAGGTATAATAAATACATTAAGAACCTAACCGTTTACAAAGTAAATCGGCAATATTAAGTAAATACAAGAATATTATTAAGTTCGTTATAAAAATATTTGAAACATTAAAAACAGATGAAGAATTCTATAATGTTTGGAAAAAAGTAGTTGAAATTGCTGGTGAAAAAGCTAACTTAACTAATAAACTTTTTTTTAAACAATTTTAAACTATAGGTAAATGTATTTATTTATCAAGTAATGTTTATTTTAGGAGTAATTTAATTTATAGTTTTGTTTAAATTTGTAATAAAAAGATCCAAATGTCACAGAAGGGAAACTCAAATCTTCATGATCATGTTGTGTTTCCAATTACCGGAGCAGAAAATAAAGTAGTAGATTTAAACAGTACGCTAAAATGTATTGGCGAAAAGTAGCCTACAGGCCAGTAATTGATTATGTTATAAGCAATCTTAAGTATAGATTCCCTGAAGAGAGTTTACTTATGGCAAGCTCGATTGATTGTTTTATTAAAACGGATTTTTTCGGAAGTTCATATTTTAATCATTAAAAGGTTAATATTAAATTTCTCATTTAAATGTTTTCTGTATACATTAATTGTAATATTTGATTTTTTTTTTTTTTAGGATATTTTATTAATAGATATTCATGCTTTGAATTCAGAAACTAGTGTAGCAAAAAACTACTTGAAAACTATCAAACATGAATAAAATATAAATTATATCAGTATCAACAAAAAACATGTTTACCCCAATCTATATAAGATGTTACAAGGTGCATTAAATACCTATTCCTTTATAAGAACTTATGTTTAGCCACTTATGGAAGGTCATTTTCTTCTATTTTATTTATTTATTCGTATGCTATTACAATGAACGATTGCACTAAGTTAAATTCATTATTAGGTAACAGATTAAATTATTATGAATATCAACATAAATAAACATTTTAAGGTTTAAGCAAAAACAACATATTAAGTATCACATTAAATTTTATTAAATTAAACTAAATATCAACATTCAGAGAATCCAACCAGGCTACTGCCTAGACTAAGATAAAATACTTTTAAAAAGTATTTAGAATATATATTCGAATACTTCACAACAATAGTATTTACAAAATATTACGAATATTTTAAAAATACTATGTAGAAAAGCTGTTCTAGGATAATGGGGACGGATGCAGCCGCTATTGTCGGTGGGAAATTGGGAAGGTAGGATATAGAAGGGAATTTAATGTACATTTGTAAGTAATGATAAACCATTGCTAACGAAAAAACGATTCTGAACGGAGTTCAGTTAATATTGATGATTTTTCAACAATATATGTGTCATATTATCGTAAAATAATTAATTAAGCATTTATATATATTTTCTTTAATAATATTTGTTTAATTTTGTTTAATATCCGACTTTTCTGGTTTTCCCATGTTTTTTCCCGGGTTTTCACATTTGCTGCGAAAACTCTTGAGAAAATTGTTTTAAAACTTTTTTAAAAAGACATTTTTAAAACTCAAGTTATATTATTATTGTATGTTTAATTGTTAGTTATTTATTACTTATATGTTATTACATGTTAACATTATTATTAATTAATATCTTAATATAATTATAATATATGATGTATCTTAATTGTATTATTTAATTTTTAAAACTATTGCATGCCTGACAAATTTCTTAATAACTTAATATAGTAATTATATTTTAACATTAATATTTAATAATTATTCAAAATTATTATCACTCATTTTTGCCTTTTTTTGTTTTTGTTAAAACAGCATCACCGATGCTAAAAACACTTTGAACAGCAGCACTGCTGAGCAGCAGTGTGTTGAATTTTATAATTGTTTTTCTTATGGTTGGTGCATCATTTAAGGAATTCATGTTTTTGTGGTACTTTAAGATGGATAATTAGAAATTTCTTGTATGATAACGATTTGCGTTGTTAATATATAATAATACTTTAAAAAAAATAAATAACATTATTATAATATGCGATTGTTTTACAATTTTCTTGTAGAAACAAAAATATTCTATAATGAATGACAAAAAGTATTTTTTTCAAGGAGTAAAATACTTTCTAAACATATTCAGAAAACAGTATTGAATAATACCAAAAAAAAGTATTTAAAAAAATATTCAGAATACTTAAAAACTAATTTTAAATACTATATTTGGAATACTACCCATATCTGCTACTGCCTCAGGAGTTGCTTTGGTGAAGTCCTCCAAGTCACCGTCATATCTTCTCAGTGGACAGTCTATGAGACGTATAAAGCTATTTAAAAAAAATAAAATACAGTAAAACTCGCTTAAGACACTCTTTAAGGGACCAGCTCTCTAGAGAGTCTTAAGCGGGAAAGCGTTGTATGTAGGAATTGAAAAATTAAGTGATTAATATATCGAGTTTAATTTTTGTATACAATTATAAATTAATTATAATTACATACATATATTTTTTTCTATTGAATTTAATTAAAAAAGAAATACATTTATCTAATATACATTATGCATACCATGTGTAGGTATTTTTATTATATTTTTTTTAAATTTTATTTTATAAAGAATTATCTATTTTTGTTCGCTTAAGATTCTAACCATGCGTTTCAGCAAGAAATTTCTCTATTTTGTTAACATAACCCAACATTTCTTTAGCATTTTCTACAGAGGATAATAGATTTCGAATGTCTGATAGGTGTTTCAATGTTTATACTCACACAACTACTAAAATTTATCGTAATCTGCTGAACAAAATAGCGTCTTATCCGATTATATAGAGAAAAACCAAGCGTTCTAACAGGTGATTTTTACATCGACTAGTATAGGGACTGTCTAGGGACTGACGGAAAACACCGTTTTAAGCTAGTTTTACTGTACATGAATTTTTTTTCGGTTAATGGAATAATATTTTTATTATACAAAAATGATGAGACAAAATGTTCGTAGCCTTTTGGGACTTCCAAAGGTTACAATCACGGTTTTTTTTTCAAATTAGGTAAAATTTAGTAAAATGTTAAAAAAGTTTATTATTTATTAAATTGATTGAAAAACATGATATACATTTTGGGCCGATTATTTTCTAAGTAGGCCGAATAGGCCTCTTTCTCCTGCAGTGACAGTCACCGGAAAATGCCGTCCTACACCAAAGTCATTAGTGAATGTTGAAATTGATTAGGTAATATTGATTAGGTTTGTAAACATTCACTAGTGAATGTCGACATTTATACAGCGATATTGATGAAAGTTATTGATAATATCAATTCTGTTTTCTTTAAATGTAATCTCGGGATGATGCGAAACAGGATCAGATTTTGTTCTTTCAGCGCCCATTTAATTCTATATCAATAGTTCAATGGTTGTTATAATCATAGATAATAAGCGTACATCTGTTTATAGGTCTATAGATAATAAGTGACTTAATTGATAATTGCAATGATTTCTTATCATTTTAACTGACTAAAAAAATTGTGCGATTTAATGTACCTTCTACCTATATACCTACATAAATTCTTAAGTCTTAAGTTGTAGGTATTAATATATAATGGTGACGAAAATCTCAAGTGGCGATTGCCACCCCCTCGATATCCATCAATGTGAACCTGTTGTAAGTGGGAAGTAAGATACATAGGGTACCTAATTTAATTTATATCTGCACTCAACGATAAACCGTGTATAACGAAAAATGATTCTGAGGAAAAAATTATTAGTAGTATTTAACACAAGAACCATTAGAAAAATAACAAATTGAAAAAAAGGAAAATCAAAACATGATCTTCCCAATGCATCATGAAGATCAGAAATGCTACAAAAAAGTTTCTATAAAGTTTTTGACTGGTAGAAAAGTTGTTTAAGTTGATATTAGGATGTTTTTTTTTATCAGATCTTCTTCTCGTGATATTGTGTTCCTTAGAGCTTAATACTCTCCAATTTTTTCAGATTTTTTAAGGTGAACCATGACCATCGTTTTTAGGGAAAAATTGAGTTTTTTGTTTTTATTTTTATGTGTGTAAATAATCGTTTTTTAGAAGAAATCAATGGATTGAAAATTATCAGAAGAAAAAAAGAAATATACCAATATTTTTTTTCAAATTAAATAATCTCAATTATACATCTCGTTTAGAGCTACAAAAGTAAATTTTCGGATAATTTTGATGAATCAACCCATTTAATCACCCATAAATGTATTTTTCAGGGGTCGAAAATATTTTTAACTTATTCTCCATTTAGTTTCCGAGAGAATGGCTTAACTTGTATAGTGAATTACACTTGATATGACTTCGAATAAAAATAGTTAAGGTTATATATCGTATTGCCGTTGGTAGGTGTAGGCGCCGAATGCCGATTATGATATCGAAAACATTTTGATCGTCGTTTTCGGTTCAAATTCAGACGGAAACGTTTAATAAATTCGTATTATAAGTATTTAACGTTTCAGATTTAAATCGCAAAATCGTTTTATACCCGGACTGCACATAAAAAAAAAAAAAGTCCAAGGGGATTTGACACCATTACCAGACCCCATCCCCTACCCGACCCGCATGATTATAGTTTCTTTCGGATTCTAAGATTCTACGGTTATTACCGGTTCAGCTGATGAGCTCGACTTTATTTTACGGGTATATGCGTACCTATTCGATAAATATATATATATAATAATACTATGTAATAATAATATAATATGTGCGCGCGCGCGCGCGTGTGTGTATGTAAGGTTTACGTACATAATATTATATATATATATATATGTATATACGTATATACGAACGT